CTTGCAGCTTCGTTTGCAGGTGCCACAATCACCAGAAAAGACGTCGCCGGATAATCGAAGAACAGGGAGTGAGACTGAAACAGAGAGAGAGGGAAACAAGCGGGACAATGAAAGAGACAGAGAGAAAAGGAGGGAAAAAGGCGAGCGAGAATTTTGTGTTATTCTTACGGATTTTCTACTTTGTTGGCAATGTAAGCACAGCAACCGCTCCGCAGCCCCGCCACCCACTCGGCCCCCTCTATCAACACTTGCCTTTCCGCTTTCATTTGCTCTGTGCAAAGTTGACGCTTTTGTTTGATTCGTGTCACACAGCTGACCAACGCCCCCTGCCACCCACATTTTCCGCCCGAGCCATGACAGCCCCTACCGAAGGCTTCTCTGCACAGTGGAAAGCATTTGAAAAAGTCAGCCAGCCAAAGTTTGTATTTCCTTGCAGGTAACAATTAAAATAGATCATAACTAAGCCAAAAATGCATTAATTTCGATTCGGAAAGCAGATTTGTGTTAGTTTTTATTAATTTAAAAAAACTGCATACCAAATTTAAAATTTTAAGAAATTAAAATTTTCGGACATTTTTGCTAATTTTAATGATGTAACCCCTTATCAAATTTCGCAAAAATGGCCAAAAAATCGATTTCTTCCGGACATGTCTAGAAAGATTCGCATGTTAATGCTGATCAAGAATATATATGGTTTATGGGGTCGGAAATGATTCCTTGACTTGGAAAAATATTATTTTGTATTATAAAATATGATTTTTTCTATTTAAAAATTTTATTGTTTTATTTTAAATTAAAAATATCATAACTCGGCCAAAAGAGCATTAATTTTAAATCGGAAAACTGTTCTGTGCATGATTTTCTACAGTTAATAAATCTGCATACTTCATTTAAAAATTTTGAAAATTCAATTTTTTTATCAAAATCAAAAATTTTAATGATGTAATGTAAAAATCGATTTCTTCCGGACATGTCTAGAAAGATTCCCCTGTTGATGCTGATCAAGAATATATATACTTTATAGGGTCGGAAAGGTCTCCTTCACTGCGTTGCAAACTTCTGACTGAAATTATAATACCCTGCAAGGGTATAAAAATAATACAAAAATCTAGTAAAATAAACTTTCAGTTCTTAAAACTCAACCGAGACTCGAAGCAATCTTCAAAAAACATTAATTTCCACTCCTTAAAAATATAAATAAAATAATTCCTTAACTTGTATTCAATCTTATTTTATTCCAACAAATTTGTAAAAATACAACCACTGTTGGTCGAGTCGTTCCACTCCGCTGGAGTTACTTTGCTTGGAATTATGCAAAACACAGGAAAAAATGAAAGAAACACAAAACAAATAGAAGGACGGAATTGTCAAATGAGATTCAATGTTATGCTCAAGTGCTTCCTATGGAGTGGAGTGAATTTTAATAATAAATTTTGTGTGACCACCGAGGAAAGTTGCAGCAGCAGCAGCAGCCACAGCAGCAGCTCACATGCAATTTTCCAGAATTTACTGCTGCGTGAAAGTTTTGCAATTTGGTAGCGACCAAATGAATGGCCAACAAAGTAGCGAAAAGGGAGCCCTTTAAGGAAGTGGGAACGCCTTGCGTGTCCAGGCATAAGCTGAAGGCAAATGAAGCTACAATTACGTCTACAAATACACACATAAAGGGGGGAAGTAATTTGCAATTAAATTACGACGAAATGGGCAATAGAATGGGAATTAATTGTCCACGAAATGCAATTATGCTTTGCTCCTTGTATTTTTTGCTCCTCTATTTCTCATTCGCTGCAAACTGAATGGGCGAATAAATGAGCGACTGAATGGGGGAGCTCTGAAAGTGGGACATCATTGGAGGCAGCTCCAGCCAAACGCCGCCTTGCCGCTTAATGGAATTGCATATTAAGAACTTGTCAAAATGATAACTTCTTCTCGGTGCCATCAAACTGAAACGAGCAACTACTACATGGCAGTTCGCACTCACTGAATAAATGGGTTTCTGCCAAAACTTTAATATTGCAAGGACCGAAGAGGAGGAAGGTGGACGAGTAGCTGGTTCACCCTAATAAATTACGAATGCTTCTTTTTATTGAACTTAATTTCCTTTTTTCGACCACACTTTTTCGGTTCTTTTTGGTTGCCAGGGGCAAAGTAAAGCCGCTGCAAAGGAGATATATGGCCGCAACCAAAGATTACATTTAGTGCAGAGACACTGGAAATATTTTCAAGTTTATATAAATTCTAAAAGTTGAAAGGTTATTCTGTTTTTTTTTAATATAAAAGCTAGGTTTGGGTTAAAATAAAATACATAAAATATTATAAACGTTTTGACAGCAAGTTCTTAACTCTAAACAATAAAGTATGCGCCATTTCCTGCTTTTATAGGATACAATTTCTTAACTTTAAATACTTTTAACCTTTTTAAAGCTCTCAAAAAATATTTCTAAATTTTTTCAAGTGTCTCCACTCACGCTTACAAAAGTGAAAAGCATTTTCGCTCACTGATTTTTGCCTGCATTCAGAACTGCAGCACAAGGTTGAGTGCCTCAAGCAAGCCGCAAGCAGCCAAATGCGATGCCTTTTGAGGGCAACGACTAACGATCGGAGAGGATGCATATATGTATATGTATGTGGGTGCAGTAGTTTTAGGTATTGGGTCCGGGTCCTTCCGCCATGGAGATGGTCAACATTTTTGGGTGCTTTGAGCGTGGCACGCAGCAAATGCGTTTGCATTACGGTCAGATGTTTGCGGCAAGCCTCTTACTCCACAGGCCAGCAAACACAAGCAAACATTCTAGTAGTAGTGACTGGGGCCCTGAAGAGTTGTTTGCGCTGCTGCGCCTTTATGGCTGCCAAAGTTTGACCACATTTTACTAACAAAAATATTACAACAATGCCAGCCTTGAAGTCTGCTTGCGGTCACACAGAACCACAACGGGTAGCCCTAGCAGGCCGGTCCGCCCGCAAAAAGGATGCAATTAATTTTGCAAAAGGACAACTTCATCTGACAGCAATAATGTATTGCAAATACCAGAAGCGGACAAGGAATTGCATAAATCGCCGGTCAGCCTAATAAGTATCAGGGCAAGGCAGAGGCAGCCCCTCTCCCATGAAACGAGTGCGGAAATTGGTAAGGGATTAAATGGCCTAAACAGTTGCCGCGGCATTAAGCCGCTGGCTGGCTCACTCACCCCTTTTGGGGTTCGATGTCGTCCGGCAAACTTTTCACTTTGCATGAACATAAAATACATACCAAATAAAACAGAGGCAGCACCAGCACCAGCAGCAGCAGCAGCAGTAGCGGCAACAACAAAAAATGGGAAAACTTTTTAATTTATATTTAAACTTTTTCAAAGTGTTGAAAAAGGGGCGTTATCTACTGCTGGTGCGACTTGCTGCCTCGAATGCCAAATAGTTATAAAACACCAAGTGTGTCCGAGTGTGCATGTGTGTGGGTGATGGGGTTAAGGGGCCAAGAGGATGTTTCGGGTTGTGCAAACGAGGCTAACAAGCTCTGTTCGCCGCTCAAAGGTCAGCGGTTGGTAGTTGAGGTCATCTGGGCATTACCTTACATAAGTTAGCAGGCGGCTCTCCAAAGTGATGAGCAGCCAAGGGGTTTTTTTATGGTAATTATTTATTGATAGTTCCACAAGTTAAGCAAGTTATCGGCCTTGATCCATCATTATAATTACGTAGCGTTGGTTACATTTATAATTAAAAACCAAAGAGTTTGGCTAATAATGTTATCTTCCGATTTGCATATGCATTAAGCGTTCATTTATTTTATTAGTTTTTCTTAATCTGCTACGATTAGATTTTAAAAAATTCTCCCCTAATTTCGTAGCAGATGTCATTTGGACGCATTATGTTGAACTTGTCAAAAGCCTTATACTGAAGCCGAATTGAATAGCGACCAGGTTTTAGGTATATGCCACTTCCAAATCTGAAGTTTGCCGTATATGTTTCGAAAATGAAAACAGTCTGCAAAAGAATAATCATTACTAACAAGGATAGTATAAAAGCGAATACTATAAATCGTACACCAGGCATTAAGCATTCTTTCTCTATTTCCCTTCGATTTACTATATGTGAGGACCACGACTTGTACCACAGCTGCTTATCATCGTACAGGACTTTGCAGAGATCGGAAACCAGCATATTTAGTATTGTTGGAACCCAGGTACCACGATCAAAGTATTGCACGCTTCCCGTCATCTAAAAAGAAAATAATATTATAATTTAATACTCCAAAAAATATATCATTAATCTTTTAAAACCTGAATGCGATCCGAATAGTCAACTCCATACCACACAGATGTCATATTTCCGGAAACTTGAATACCCTCTTCGACCAAAGTACGGTTAAGATTGGTCATGTCAAGAAAGTCTTCCATAGATAGAGCACCCGGCAAGTCCTTGCATTCATTGTAGAACGTTCCGTCCTCCATGAGAAACTCATACTCGACTTCAGTCGAGTAACAAATAAATTGTAAAACAATCAGTAACTGATAAATCTGCGACACACTGCGACCCATTTTGAATCGAATGAATTGTAATACGAACGATAACCCCATTTTATAGTCGAATTTTCAATAATATAATAATAATATAACCCTGTGTTAATAATCATAATTACTTAGATCGAGATTGTGAAGCTACAAGCTTTTACTGGGCATTAAAATACTAAAAGTATAATTTACAAATAGATTTTAATCAATATACTAGATAATTCCAAGATTTGTATGTATGAAGTATTTACGCCCACACCGGACATGGTACTAAAGTCTGTAAAAACAGATCACCTGATACCCAGAACATAAAGGACCTATTTGATTTAACTAAGCTTAGATAAAGGATCGAAAGAGCTGTTAATAATTAACACATATTACAGTAACAATTACTAAATTAAACTATATTATTAAAAGGAGATAAGGTTGAATCTTTTCCATGCTAAAATAATAGTCACAAATCTTTTACAATTAGAATTAAAAAAATCAGTCTACTAGGCCTTGTATACTTTTTATTATTCTTTGTATCAATAACCACAATGTATTTAATATGATTAGACCTTAAAAAATTCGCCCCTTATTTCGTAGCAGACTTCAGTTGGACGCTTTTTGTTGAACTTGTCGTAAGCCGTAAACTGAACCTGAAGTGAATAGCGACCAGGTTTTAAATATATGCCACTTCCAAATCTGAAGCTAGTCGGATATGTGTCGAAAATAAAAACAGTCTGCAAAAGAATAATAACAGTTAACAGGGATATTATAAAAAATAGTATATATAATGCAACAAAAATCGTACTCCCGGCACTTTGAAACATTCTGTCTCTATTTCTTTTCGATTAATTATATGTGAAGACCATGTGTACCAGGATTGCCTTTCATCGTACAGAAATTTGCAAAAATCGGGAATCAGCATATTCAGTATAGTTGGTACCCAGGTTCCACGGTCAAAGTATTGGATACTTGTGGCCATCTTTAAGGAAATTAACATTGTAATTCTGTATAATTCATCTATAATATTGTAAGACCTGAATCCGATCGGATGGGTCAAGTCCAAGCCACGTAGAGGTCATGTTTCCCGAAAATTGGAGACCTTCCTCGGTCATAGCAATATTTAGATTGGTCATGTCAAATAATTCCTCCATGCCGAGGGCATCCGGCAAGTCCTTGCACTTCTCGTAGTACCTTTCGTCCTGCGGTATAAACTCATATTCCACTTCAGTCGAGTAATAAATAAATTGGGAAATCAATAGAAACTGATATATCTGCGACACACTGCGACTCATTTTGAATCGAATGAATTTTAATACGAACGAGAACACTATTTTATAGTCCATTTTTCAATAATATAACCCTGTGTTAATAATCATAATTACTTAGATCGAGATTGGGAAGCTACAAGCTTCATTAAAGTATAAAACGTATAATTTAAAAATAGATTTTAATCGTTACATTAGGTAATACCAAGATCTGTATGTATGATATATTTATACCCATGCCAGAGATGTCAACAAAGTGTGTCAAAACACATCACCTGATACCTAGAACGTAAAGGGCCTAGTTTACCCAACTGAATTTAGATAAAGGATACAAAAAAGTTATTTTGAAGCACTATATTTTATACACATATTTCAGTAACAAATTCTATATTAAACTATATTATAAACAGGTGATTAGGTTTTATCTTAGCCATGTTATAAAATGATCACAAAACTTTTACAATTAAAACTCTTGAAATCAGTCGACTAGGTCTTGTATTCTTTTTATTACTCTTCGCTTCAAAACCACAGATTCTTCCCAAATTTCTTTTTCTTTTGATGTCAAGCAATGTATTTAGACCTTAAAAAATTCGCCCCTTATTTCGTAGCAAATTTCATTTGGACGCTTTATGTCGAACTTGTCGTAGGCCGTATTCTGAACCCGAATCGAATAGCGCCCAGGCTTTAGGTATATGCCACTTCCAAATCTGAAGTTTGCCGTATATGTTTCTAAAATGAAAACAGTCTGCAAAAGAATAATCATTATTAACAAGGATACTATAAAAGCGAATACTATAAATCGTACACCAGGCATTAAGCATTCTTTCTCTATTTCCCTTCGATTTACTATATGTGAGGACCACGACTTGTACCACAGCTGCTTATCATCGTACAGGATTTTGCAGAGATCGTAAACCAGCATATTTAGTATTGTTGGAACCCAGGTACCACGATCAAAGTATTGCACGCTTCCCGTCATCTAAAAAGAAAATAATATTATAATTTAATACTCCAAAAAATATATCATTAATCTTTTAAAACCTGAATGCGATCCGATGGGTCAAGTCCGTGCCACACAGATGTCATGTTTCCGGAAAACTGAATACCGTCTTCGACCAAGGAAAGGTTTAGATTGGTCATGTCAAACAAGCCTTCCATAGGTAGAGCCCCCGGCAAGTCCTTGCATTCATTGTAGAACGTTCCGTCCTCCATAAGAAACTCATACTCGACTTCAGTCGAGTAACAAATAAATTGTAAAACAATCAGTAACTTATAAATTTGCAACACACGGCGACCCATTTTGAATCGAATGAATTTTAATACGAACGAAAACCCCATTTTATAGTCGATTTTTCAATAATATAATAATAATATAACCTGTGTTAATAATCATAATTACTAAGATCGAGATTGGAAAGCTACAAGCTTTTACTGGGCATTAAAATACTAAACGTATAATTTGAAAATAGATTTTAATCGTTACATTAGGTAATACCAAGATCTGTATGTATGAAGTATTTACGCCCTCACCGGACATGGTACTAAAGTCTGTCAAAACAGATCACCTGATAACCAGAACATAAAGGACCTATTTGATTTAACTAAGCTTAGATAAACGATCCAAAGAGTTGCTAAGAATTAACACATATTACAGTAACAAATACTAAATTAAACTATATTATTAAAAGGAGATAAGGTTTAATCTTTTCCATGCTAAAAAAATAGTCACAAATCTTTTACAATTAGAACTCAAAAAATCAGTCTACTAGGCCTTGTATACTTTTTATTATTCTTTGTATCAATAACCAAAGATTCTTTTCCCGTTTCTTGTTCTTCGATATCACACAATGTATTTAATATGATTAGACCTTAAAAAATTCACCCCTTATTTCGTAGCAGACTTCAGTAGGACGCTTTATGTTGAACTTGTCGTAAGCCGTATACTGAAGCCGAATTGAATAGCGACCAGGCTTTAGGTATATGCCACTTCCAAATATGATGTTTGCCGTATATGTTTCGAAAATGAAAACAGTCTGCAAAAGAATAATCATTACTAACAAGGATAGTATAAAAGCGAATACTATATATCATACACCAGGCATAAAGCATTCTTTCTCTATTTCCTTTCGATTTACTACATGTGAAGTCCACGGCTTGTACCAAAGCTGCTTAGGATCGTACAGGATTTTGCAGAGATCGTAAACCAGCATATTTAGTATTGTTGGAACCCAGGTACCACGATCAAAGTACCGAGTGCTTAACTCCAACTAAAACGAAAATAACATTATAATCCAATACGGCTTGATAATGCATAATAAATCTTTAAAAACCTGAATGCGATCCGAATAGTCAAGTCCATACCACATAGATGTCATATTTCCGGAAATTTGAATACCATCTTCGACCAAAGTACGGCTAAGATTGGTCACGTCAAACAAGCCATCCATAGGTAGAGCCCCCGGCACGTCCTTGCATTCATTATAGAACGTTCCGTCCTCCATGAGAAACTCATACTCGACTTCAGTAGAGTAACAAATAAATTGAGAAATGAATAGAAACTGATATATCTGCGACGCACGGCGACTCATTTTGAATCTAATGAACTGCAAATTTAAACGCAGTCTCCGATTTATAGTAAAAATTTCAAGATTATGTATAACTACGACCACTGTAATTTAGTTAGAGTTTTGAAAAATCACGCCTTTTCTGGGTACTCGGAAACTAAATATATAATTTATAATTAGATTTAGAATCAGATAATGTAATCTAACGATACCTTAATGATTCTGGTAGTATAATATTATTATAATAATAAAACCTTTCATCTTGTTTTATCTTAAATCAATCTGCAAATTATATGTTTTTTCATTTACAACTAATAAATGACACACTTTAACGTTAGATAATTATCGGAGTTCTATAATTAATCATATCTACAAACTAATAATTATTTCCATTAAAATCGAGTTCATATAAATAGGGCTTCACGATTCAATAGACTTTATTTAACCAAGGATGATTCGTGGATATCTTTTGTTTTGGAAACTACTGCTCCTCCCAGTGTACCTGTTGCACTTTTCCATGGGTATTCAGTACGAATTCCTTCTAGAGGACGAACGCATCTTCAGCGACTGCTCCGACAAGCCACCAGGAACCTTCAACTCGCACAGCTTATTCGATTTAAGCAACATGAACTTTGCTATGGATGATGATGGAGTTGCCATTTCCGGCAATCATACACTCATATGGGATGTCCAGCCATCGGACCGCATAGAGGTGAGTGTCTTAATAATTTCACTCAACTCTAGAGATTACTTAGAATATAAACTTTTAGATGGCTGGCAGCTTGCGGTATTTTGATCGCAGTACCTGGCAACCCACAACGCTCAATATTTTGAGCAAGGACCTTTGCAAAGTCTTGTACGATCACAGACAGATCTGGTACGACCTGTACAGTAAACACATAGCAAACAGACCGGATATCGCGGAAAATTGTATCAGAGTGAAGGGTGTAAGAATAGCTTATACACTCCTCTATATATTTTGTTGTATAATTAACTATTGATTCTTTGCAGACTACATTCATAATGGAATCTTATAAGCTGGATCCACATATTGGTCTTGGCGTTCCATTGAAGCCCGGACGCTATTCAGTTCGCTTAGAGATTTCAGCATACGATAAATCGAACATTAAAGGACCGATCTCTATATGTGCCGAAGTAAAAGGCGAATTTTTTAGGGTCTAAGAGAATGTTAAGGAGGTCATACCACATGGTTATATAAAATACAGAACAGCTTGCAATCAACTTTATTATTTATAAAGAAAATAATTATTTAATAATATAAAAATATTATTCAAAAGAAAATTTAATTCCAGCCACCGAAACTCCTCATTTGTGCATGCCGTGCAACTGCACTTTTTCATTGGTATTCCCGCAAATGGTTCGCGTTCATTTATCAATATTTATAGCATTTAATGTGCAATTTGCATTTCTTAATGAAATTACACAAAAATTATATATAAATCAACATAATTTGAGCAACGTGCAACGCGGCACGCTCAGTTGCCTGCCTGCCTGCCTGCGTGCCAGGCGGCGAGTATCGATATCGATATGGCTGGCCCTGTAATTTCCGCTTAATTTGCTGCCATTACCACAAAAATGCATTAAATGCGAATGCAGCTGCCGGGACAGATAGCCTTTAAATGCGCTGCAATTATTTGCATTGCAATTTTAATTGAGTGTTAAAATATTTGCGGCCACCTGGTGCGCAGTCAGCCCGCGGCCGATTTCGAGGCCAGTGAAATATGGCCATATGTGAATGTATCTAAGCCGTGATCTCTGGCCAAAAGTCTCCAAGGAGCTGCATATAGCAGGGCGCAATTATCCACTGGCACTGTGATCAGCCGTCATTTGCTCCCTTGGTGATGCCTGCGACGTTCATCCTGTCCATATATAGCCAGTCCAACTGAGTCATCTGTGCGGGTGCATTAATACATTGAGTTGGGGCCCATTATAGTGAAGCCTGCAACTGAAACTGCAACAGCTTTGGCCTAAGCACGCATATTGAGAGAAAAATCTAGCAAAAACTAAACCTTGAAGGCTTGATTTTATAAATTTATTAATAAAAGTAAAAGGAATATGGAGCTGGACAAATCATATTATAGATTATAAACAGAAAAAGTATTTAACTATAATAAATCGAGGTATTTTTTAAATGTCAACTCAAAATATATAATATTTCTGTGTGTAATTTAAATAAAGGAATCAACCTTTATTTTTTAAAATTCTTAAAAGAATATGTCTCAGAAGTCCTTAGCCCTTAAACTTTGTATTTTCTTAAACCTTTACTCAGAAAGCCTCCTGAATTTTCTCCAGTGTACACACACACACACACAATGGCTTTGGGACGGGCCTGTCGATTTCATTTGATATGCGCCTTTGGGCCATAAAATTTGACACAAACCCAGGACACACAGTGGGCCCAATGTCGGATTTGGAGGGAAGAGATGAGAGTGTGTGGGGCCGGTCAAAGCGTTGCTCATTTGCAGTCGTTATTAAATTGCGTTTTTCCCCAAAACATGACTGAAAGGGGATCAAGGGGGAAAACTGCACCATCACCAGCACCAGCTGGAGGATCAGGATCAGCAGGATGGGGGTTGGCATTGGCAGGGGGCACTGGCATTTTAATGAACTGATGCATTTGGGCAACTGCAGCCCGAACTGCAGGCCCCTTTGTGCATTTATTTGTTTGCATTGGCACTGATTGTATTTGCATTTCTGTGTGTGTGTGTGTGTTTGCTGGTGGTGTGCCGGCATGTGTGTTTGGGTGGGTGTGTGCCATTGGCAAACGTTCGATTTGGTGTAATGAAATTTTCTAATCAAAGCGTTTTGTTTATTTGCATTCGGTCACTCCCTCGGCCTCTCGGTTTTGTTTGGCTTGTTGACTGCCCGCCGCACAGAGTCCATTGTTTACATTGGGTCAAAGGTTGTCACTTGTGCAAATACTAATTAGTTGTAATTAGGTTTTACATATGCACACCGACCGCAAAACAATTGCCCTGAAAGTGAGGCCTTCGACTGGCTCAAGGCGCTGCAAAATGGATTATTCAGTAAGGAAATTATTTAACAGAGCTTAGAGGGTTGTTTACTAGGGAATTATACTATATAGTACTTAATTTATATACAGAAAATATAAATTAATATGTATTTAAACTCAGTTGCTAAAAAAACATAAAGCTTAATTGATTAATTTCTCAGCAAACCTCAACAGAATCCTTATCCTTTATTTTCTTTTAATTTTCAAATACAATGAAATAAAAATTGACTTAAAAAAACCTTTCTTAATTTCCTTTTTTCCCGCCTTGGTTTTCCCAGCTTTCTAATTTAATCGGCCCAATGGAAAACTGCTTGGCTATGCATTGCTTTTCATCCGGGCTTGGCCTTAATCGCTTTGATCTGGCTCAGCCTCGGCCTGGTGTCCAATTAAACGGCATTTTATGCGGCCAATTTGCATATATTTTGGGCAAGACAGGAATGGAAACAATAAGCCATAATTTATATATAATTAACTCTATTCCCCGTTTGGCGCCACACAAAGTCTTTGAAAACTCATTTGAATATGAAATTCATATTCAAATTCAAATTTTCGCAGCTCCAGAGGAGCTATTCCATCGCATCCCCTTGGCATCCTGGCGCAGCGAGTTCAATGAGGTGTTAAACCATAATTTGCACAAACGCTTGGCTGAGCCATTTTCCCCAACACCACCTCCTCCTCCTCGTGCTCCTGCTCCTCCCCCTGGCCCTACCTCGCAGCTTTTCCCTCCTTACCGCACATTTGCATTTTGCGCGCTTTAATTTTTACTTTATTTCTTTTCACGCGATTTTTTGTTGGATTCTTTTTTAAATATTTTCGAGCTCCATTGTTCTTTTGCCCCAAAGTGTTTGGCCACAATTACGCAATGAAGTCGAACCGGTGTACAGTGGTCAAAAGGAGGCTTTAATAGCCAACATTACAACTGAAAAAAAAAGTTTAAAATAATATTTATATTTTTAAAACAAAGTACAGATTTTCAAGCTACCCATCAAGGCTAACATATGGTTTGTATATCCAAATTTAAGGTTGATATAAATCCACTGTAAATGCGTGGGGTGTGGGCTTTTGATGCATGCCCCGCCATCACAGTTAATCGCCATGAAATTTGTGGCCCATAAAATGGACACTGGCCACGCGTAATAGTCAAATTTTATTAGCTTCAATTTAACAATTTGTGGCTAAGGCCACTCTCCCCGGGGCTTTATTAATATTTAAACAAGGCAAACATTAGACTTATGACCGCTGCGCCCTTAAGGACTTCATCTCACCTGGCGCTGCTGCTGTTGCCAATGAGGATTCCGCTCCAAAACAAAAGGAGCCGCACACCATTTTAATTTTTCACTTGGCTGAGTGCAGAATTAAGACATTAAACGAATGCGTCGCCCGTCCCCTTCTCCATAATGAAGTTGGCGCTGACACAGCTGTGCCAAAATCCTCCGTCCGTCCCCATCCAGCCAGCCTCCATTTCCATCCAGGCTTCCACATCCAGTGTGTCTGCCCGAATGAAGACTTTTCCCTCCCGAACAACTGATTTTAATAACAGTCATCCGCTGCCGCTGTGCATAACGATGCGTAACCGTCGAGAATGGCGGAGGAGGGCGGGGTCCGGGCCACGTTATGACTTTGATTCATCAGAAGGGAAAGTGGCTGGGAGACAGCGACAGCCGCTGACCTGCACTGGCAATTAAATGCTAGACAAAAATCTGTATTTAAAACCTTAGTTTTTCATTTAAAAGTATGAAAGACTTTTTCAGTAGCTTTCCAATTTTAGATAGCAAAAAATATAGTTTAACTCACCTTAAGTTTAGCATACAATTTTCTCTCAGTGTTCCCTCTCCTTAGTGGCATTTGCATACAAATGGGCGTTGGACTTTGACGCATAAGTTCAGTGGCAATTTGCTTATAAAACGTATTCTAATTGCCAGCGATTCCGCGGCAGGTGGAGCTTCCTCGCCACACCCGCACCGCTCCACTCACTTAAAGCAGACATGGGTTAAGCGCTCAACGCTCCTCTGACTTAACCCATGAAATTCACCAACCACACTCAACGACGGATTCTGCGGAAAATCCGCCACCCTTGTCAGCGTCAGTAATAAAACTTTATTGAATTGTATTGATTTTAAAATTATTACCATTGAGGCGGAAGTAATGCAATGTAGCCGTGCATATGTATGAGTGAGTGTAGCTGGGTATAGTGTGCGTTCTGTGTGTGTGTGGGCGCTCAAGTGTGTTCTAGCAACGGCTGTTGGAATTTAACAAACCACAACATTTTCATTATTGTGTGCAGCTCAGTGCAAATAAAAAAGAAAAAAGAGGGAATAAAGCGAGCCCAAACAAAGAACTCAACGAAGGGGGATTTAGCAAAGGGGTGTCGGGTATCCACCCCCTCGAGAAGCACCCCTTTGTCGCAGTCTCAAGTGCTAAACTCTTCTTTTCACTCGGTGCCCTGCAAAGTAGGCAACGTTTTCTTGGAACGCCACACACACACACACACATGCGCTTGATCCAGGTTTTCCCTTTTGGTTTTTTTAATGAAAATCTAAACGCTTATTGTAATTTTCCCTGTTTGTTCTCTAACGGTTATATATATATATTTTTTTTTTGTTTTATTTTTCCAGCAGCGAGCGCTGTTGTTGTGTATTATTTGAGTTCGGTTTGGCACGTGCACAAATGCAGCTAATCGAGTGTGAAAATTGCTCTGGGTTTGCCCCAGGAATTTTCCTCTTTAAAGTCTGGAAAAAATGCTTTAACATTGGTATAGAGACTGGATAATTTAAAAACTAGAAGAGTTTCATTGGTTAAGTAATGGAAATATTTCAAAAATTTGATATAATCTTTAACGAAATTTAAAGATTTTTGGTTTTAAATACTATCAGTTACAGTATTCTTAAATTCTCTTATCCCAAATATCCTACACAAGTGATTCTTATAATAAATAAACCAGTCTTTGACACAGCAGCTTCAATTCTAATTTAAAACAGGAAAGAAAGCTTACTTTGGCCAGCCAAAGTTTGTAACCATTAAAATATATCATAACTAAGCCAAAAATGCATTAATTTCGATTCGAAAAGCAGATTTGTGTTAGTTTTTATTAATTTAAAAAAACTGCATACCAAATTTAAAATTTTAAGAAATCAAAATTTTTAGCCAGTTTTGCTAATTTTAATGATGTAACCCCTTATCAAATTTCGCAAAAATGGCCAAAAAATCGATTTCTTCCGGACATGTCTAGATAGATTCCCCTGTTGATGCTGATCAAGAATATATATGGTTTATGGGGTCCAAAATGATTCCTTGACTTAGAAAAATATTATTTTGTATTATAAAATCAGATTTTTTATATTAAAAAACTTCTTGATTTTGTTTAAATTAACAAATTCATAACTCGGCCAAAAGAACATTAATTTTAAATCGGAAAACTGTTCTGTGCAAGATTTTCTACAGTTAATAAATCTGCATACTTCATTTAAAAATTTTGAAAATTCAATTTTTTATCAAAATCAAAAATTTTAATGATGTAACCCCTTATAAAATTTTGCAAAAATGGCAAAAAATCGATTTCTTTCTGACATGTCTAGAAAGATTCCCCTTTTGATGCTGATCAAGAATATATATGATTTATGGGGTCAGAAATGATTCCTTGACTTGGAAAAATATTATTTTGTATTATAAAATCGGATTTTTTATATTAAAAAACTTCTTGATTTTTTTAAATTAAAAATATCATAACTCGGCCAAAACAGCATTAATTTTAAATCGGAAAACTGTTCTGTGCAAGATTTTATACAGTTAATAAATCTGCATACTTCATTTAAAATTCAATTTTTAATCAAAATCAAAAATTTTTATGACGTAACCCCTTATGAAATTTCGCAAAATTGGCAAAAAAATCGATTTCTTCCTGACATGTCTAGAAAGATTCCCCTGTTGATGCTGATCAAGAATATATATACTTTATAGGGTCGGAAAGGTCTCCTTCACTGCGTTGCAAACTTCTGACTGAAATTATAATATCCTGCAAGGGTATAAAAAACCCTAAAAACCCATTGACCATTTTTTTTTTGGGTACCTCGTTTCTTTCCACCGCATATCCTTGGCATATGCAAATTCTTACGTGGAACTAGTTTCATTGGACAGCCGCAAGAGCAGCTCTCGGTTTCAAAGCCTGCCGATTCATTTCCATTCATGTTATGCAATTCAATTGTGAAAGTTGCTGTCCCAGGATCCCGCTTAGGCGTTGCTTTCCCGCTTATGCATATGCACAGGACCCGGTTGAGTTGCCTGGCCGCGTTCTTTTTGTACTCTCGCAGAGCAGGGAAACCGGCATACCCTGAACAAATACCAAGAACACTTACTTCAATCTATATTTCTGTTAAAATGGTTAAGTAAAAACTTTTAAGTTTAAGAAAAATGAGACTTTTAGACATCAAGTAAAATTTATAAAGATATAAATCAGAAATTATTTTATTTTATTTATTGACCAATTAAATTTATTTTCCAAGAGTATAACAACATCTGCTTGACCACGTTAGTAACCTTTCTCGCTCACCTGTTTTCCCGTTACAGCCAGAGGTCCACATCTGCGGTGGGTTGCTGCTTCTGCTGCTGCTTCCAGCTGCTGCCTGCGGCCAAAACTCCGTTGGCCCAGAGTTCCTAACTGGGGGCTAAGCCACAGCTTCAGATAGATGCAACCCCTGGCTGCATGCACCCACCAGCTTTTCCTCCAGCTTTTCCCCTGGATTTTCTCCTAGATTTCCCTGCCACTTTGGCCCGGCAGCTTTTCTCCCTTTTGTCCTTGTCGTGTAAAGACAGCACTTGCGGTCGAGTTGATCTGACCGCTTGTCCGGGCAAGCCATAATTATGCAATTTCTTGTCAACATGCTCTGGACGGGAAATGCACAAAGTCCAGCCGGGTGTGTGCCGGTGTGCATCGTTCTGTGTGGCCAAAACAAAGACTTGAATGTTTTAGCTTCTTGAAATTGCCAGACATTTAAAGGCAATTATGCAGAGTGAGTGTTGGGCTTGCCCTCCATCTCACAACTTTTTGCGGTGTTGTCGAATGGACACAGAGGCATAAGCAAAGACATAAATTATTCATGGCTGCATTTCGGGTCCCCAATCAGAAGCCTAATTTGCCATGCTTAGCCAGAAACGAAATGCTCCGATGAGTCTTACACACACTTCAGAAGGACACTGTCGCAAAAAATTGAGATTGTTGATCCTATTGATAGTTTTTCATATATTTTTCCTACCTACATATAACCTTTCTTGCATTCTTTTCTCACATTAAGACACTCCATTGCATACTTTTAGATGCCCAAAAGAATTGATTTTAAATCTCCTTCGTCGTAATACGTATTTTCATTGACTTTGAAGTGTGTAATCTTGATTTCAAAACGATTTATTTCAGTGAAGGAGCCAGCTTGCATGTATTTATAGTCCTACGATTGGGTTTGTGTGGAGTAAACATTGTAGGAAATTTCCCTCTTTTTATGCTCATGATGCCTAATCACATACACACAAGCACAGCCATTAAGAGGCCAGCTAAGCCACTGTGCGGGCGGAGTGGAGTGTATTGGATGTGGGAGTGTGGCAAGTGTCTTATCTACTTCCTGCTGATATGTTTATGATGCCAATGCCACTGATTATCAACTGCACAAGCCAGATGAAGATTCAGACCGGGAAGAAGCTGTAAAAGAAGCTCCACCAGCAGGAGCACCAGGAACAGCAGCAGCCAAGGAAACGAAAAGTTATTGCAATGCGTTCGTTGCCTTGGCGGAAAGTTGTCATGACAACGTCGCACTTCCAAGCTGGGGTAATGCCATTGGCCGCAGATTATGATTGAGTTTGTTGCACACACAGATACTGGAAAAAAAAATTGATTAGTATACCCGGAGCAGTCTCCTTTTACAATAAATTCTAAAACATTTTAAAGAATTTAAAGAATAATCACTTGGGAATTATAAGGTTCGGAATATAGGTTTCTTCTAAGACCTATTCTGAATACTTTCTTGCCTAAGATTTGGCTATGTCTCTGTCTTGTTACCCATAGTTTCTCCAAGTGCCTTGGAAACTCCAACGCAGAATAGCGTCATTTGTTTCCCTGCAATGTCGTGGCAGAGCGACATGCAAAGTTATGGCGGAGAGGAAGGTTCCTCTGTTGTCGTCAAGCCATAACGCGCATCATTATTAGGCGAAAATTATTATGGCACCCGCTGGATATCAAACACTGTCCCCATACCCATTCCCATCACCATCTCCATCAGCATCCCCCTCCCCTCAAGTTTTGATGGCATAACGACTTTTGCCAAAAGGGAATCAGGGTTGGGGGGCCAGGGAGCAAATGCAAATCTCATCAGTTGGATTTATGACACGCATAATTTTTATTGTGTTTGAACTGCCAGGGCGTTCGTTGAACACATCAGAAATCGGCACATGTCCCGGCATTTTGGGCCGTGTTAATTCCGGGGCCCAAGATTTTGTAATTTTATGTTCTCAAGCAAACATTGCAAATTCTGCATTTGCTCAGAGACGCTCGGCGGCTGCTTAATGGCGCCATAAACAGTGATGCCTAAGGGCGGTCTTTGGTTATTTAGGAGCGTGAATGGGTGGCTATGGGTGAGATGAGGCCGGGTGTGGGAAAACAGTAGCCTTGAGCAGGCTGCTAGTGTAATTAACAGGCTTCTGACATGATTCAAGTGCATGTATTTATGCCAGTGCCTCGGGGGTTCACCTGCGCCTGTTCCTACCTCTGTTCCTGACGCTCCTGTTCCTGCGGCTACTGCATTTGTAATTAAGCCGATTATTGGTACAGAGAGAATAATATAAATAAATAAAATATAACATAAACATAATAATATATAAGGTGTAAATCTATTTATTTTTCTCTATTTCTATTCTCTATCAAAATTTATTAAAAATTTATTAACCAAAAATATAATTAATATTATTTTCCAACTACCCTTTTAAGTCTCAGTGCCTTATCCAGATGAACACCTCGTGCACAGAGACAATGCCCGCCGCGGGCTACTCAAAGGACATGAGATTGAATGCGTTTCATGGACTCAGAGAAGGGGGAACCCACGTGTAGGTGTTGGTGGCAGGGTAATTATATTCGATAAAAGAGCAACGGACACTTCCGTCCGAGGCCACTCGAGGAGGTGACAGCTCCGGATGCAGTGACGCAGCAGCTGATCGAACCGAAAGCTGTTTCCCTGGCCGGCTAATAAGTTAACAGCAGTATAATGGCCTGTTTCCTGCTTGAATTGCCAATTATAGTTGTACCAGTTGTACCCACACACACACCCGCCTCCAGCCACTGCCACTCTTTGGGGATTTTGTGGGGGAAAAAAAAGTGCACTGTCAGCCAGGCTGGGTTTTCTGGTTCGCGTGCCGCCGTGATTGATGATCAACAGCAGGATATTGTGGGGGTGCCAGGACATAGTGCCAGTATGTGTGCCTCTGCGTGTGAGTGCTGCGAGCCATCTAATAGAAGAAGTGGCAATTGCCATATCAATGATGTTGCCATGCAAAACCAATTTGGGGACAGGCTGGCCTAACGACATTAAGCTCTAAATTATTTAACAATAAAGCCAATGCTTTCAATTAAATTCAAAGATAATTAGATTGGAAATGCAACCAATTTCCCTTTATTTTGGAAACATGAAACAAGCTAAACTACATTTGAAACCCCGTACATTCTGTTACTTTATATTTTGTTACAAAATTAAATTAGTTTATTTAAAATAAAAGCAATCCTGCTGTGTATTTTTGACCTTAATTACCAAAAAAATTACTTACGAGAGCCTCATCTAAAAACTAAATACAGCGAGGCATAAAAACTGTTGACTGTATTTAGGTTACGGCAACACTTGCCCAAAAAGTAAACCAAAATTATATACGAAAAGAAATGCTGCTAAATTTGGCAAGCCGAAGTTTGTATATCCTTGCAATTAGTAAATTAATTATTGGGAATTTATAGCAATAGTCTATCGTATTTATTTAAAAAATCAAACAAGCAACCCATGATACTACTTTCTTCCAAAAACTTCGATATGGAATACAATTCTTAAGCAAATAACTAATATTTTGTTCAGCTTTTAATTTTGTTAAAAATTTTTAAGACGAACGAAGGATTGGTTACCGTCTTTATTTGCTGACCGAGCTTCTTTATGGAGCCGCTCTCCTGACGGCAATCACCGCTGCCCCCGACATATTGATGAAACTTCGCTTGAATAGCCAGCTAGTGACCACCGTTGCATTTAGGTATCCGGAAATATGGCTAACTATGATCAGGGCCCTGCTGTTGACCGCCTTGGCCATGTTACCGACGGTGGTGAAGCTTCCAAAATTCCTAACCAGCCATAGTTTCTTCAAATTCCTGCACCTGGCTCCCTGGATACTGGTGTGCGGCTTCAAGTTTCTCCGGAATATCCTCATGCATGTGATTGTGATTCGCCAAGTGGGCCAATTCAACGATGCAACGGGCTTGATCATGGCCCTGGCCATTTACTGCATATTTTTGATTAAGGCTTCAGAGATGATGTTGCACTGGATTGCCATTGTCCACCTGACCACCGAGGGGTACATCTTGGATGTGCGTACCGAGCTTTGGTGAGGCAGAACTAACTTCTTTGCAAATCTAAATTTAAATATAAGCACTTCGGGTATTCTTTTTTTCCAGATAAATCTGCCTTGTGTGGAACCTTACAATGAGCCATATTTTTGGCTGGGAATCTCTTGACTTGAATACGTTCCAAACTTCTCGTCAGAATTATAATACCCTGCCAGTTTATAAAAACACGTAACCATGGAAATAAATTGCCTAATGCCCCACTCACCTAGTTGTTCCACTGAAAAACTGAAAAGTGTTTCAACCATGCAACTAAGCCTGTAAATTCCAATCGAATTGAATTAGTTACAGCTAAAAGCTCCGGCACGCAGCAGCCACGCACAATTGTTGCCACAACGCGGCAACATCCACCCGAGCAGCAGCAGTGGGAAAAGCGGGGAAAAGCGGCAACCAAAGCAGCGACAGGCCGCAGGCAAAGCCAGTAAAATCCATTAACAGCCTCCAAACTGGCCGCAGTGTTAATGATTACCGCTTATCTGTTTCTGTGTCTGCCTCCCTTGCCGATTTTCGGGGGAGAAGGTCTGCTACACGCGGGTGTTATTTATTAATTACAAGGTTTTAAATTAATTACGCAGCTTAAAATATTAACACAAAGCCCATGCCCCAGCATCTGGGGCAGGTTAAGTTCAGCACTGAGAAATGTTGATTGTTAATTCAAGTCATGTAGAGTGTTGGCTTCTGATTACACTTAATTTCAGAATGTTGGAAAATAATTTAACAAACTAAAATCAACACTACAAAAACGGTTTTAGTTTTAAAATCAATTTTTTCAAGTAGAATCTTAAAAAATCCTTTTAGAAATGTAAGTAATTTAGCTTGTGAACTCTTGTTATGCAAAGCCTGAATTCTTTAACTAAAATACTTAATTAACCCACATTTTAATCCCTGTGTAAAGTCGAGGGCAAAGAAAACCCATAGCAGATTGATTTGGCAGCAGAAGAACTGCGAACTGAATACCAAACGAATTTCGCTGCCAGAGCTTGTGGGTAACCATTAATCAGCAGGGCAAAGGAGAACCGAGGAAAAACCTTGGGGAAAAGTCGAGTCTCATCGAGTCCCTTTCCCTTTTCCTCTACATTGCTACGTTTTCACACATCAACTGGCAGAAAAAGTAAACTTTTAAAACTGTCAAATTGCTGTGTGATTTGCTGGCAAATAATAAACATGTTTAGCGAATAAATTCATCAAAACTAGCTGCCGAAAAGAGCGAGTGGGGAAAACCGAGCGACAGGACTAACGAGGAGCCAACACACACAGACTGCCATACACTTACACAGGCGAAATGCAAACAAATGGAAAACGTCGACAACACACGCAGGTGGCGCACGCAAGTCCCAGGGGGTGGCTGAGTACCCCAGGGTGGTGCTAGGGTGGCTCCACAACAAACAGAACTAACGAAGAGTTGACTTCAATCGCTGCTGCTGTCACCTAATATGCAGCGATTTCCGCTTCCGTTTTTTTTGTCGAATAAATATTGCTTGCACAGCGAAAAATCATAACAATAACTAAGAAGTAACTCTGTTGTTGAAATTATTTCTATTTAAATAAAGGCTTTCTAATTTTATTATATTTTTTGTTGAGTGTTTTATAGTGTAGATGAAGTGATTAGTTGTTGTTAGCCCTTTTGCAGTTACCTGGTTCGCCTGATAACTTTGCCTTGTGGTGTTCCGGGAACCGCTCTCTTTAGTTTTCTTCTTGATTTTCGTATTTTGTACAGGGACTTCCCCCTGTCGGCATTTGGTGGCCTACAGATTGAGCGCTTAATTTGTTAAGCTCGAAAAGTAGAAACTCAAACAAATCAGAATATCTGACCAGGAGTCAAGGCGTGTGTTTGCCTTGCTACCTTATGTACGCTTTGGGTTTGTTTCTCTTTTTTTTGGGGAGGTGAAGTTAGAGGATTTTGTGGGTGCCCCCTGTGCACCAAAGTCTGTCTGGGTCTATTGGTGAGGAGAAGGCGCAGCTTCAATCAAACCCACATACTATGCACATACGAGTACACCCACTTGGCAGAGAGATGGAATTTGTGTGGCTGACATCGGGCCACGTTGTTTGTTCGTTACGTTTTTACCCATTTTGAATCCTTTTTTGAAACCCCAAAAAACCCAAACTCTCGCTCGCCCCTGACCCGTTGGCCTTTTTTGCTCCTTCTCGTTGCTCTATTTTTGGCTTTTGATGTGCAGGAAGCTCATCATCAAAGGATCCCCAAGCGGACGCTGTGATAATTGTGCTTGTATGGGTGTGTTTGTATTTTCCTGCCAGTTTTCCTCTCATTTTTTTTTTTTTTTTTGTATCCATTTATGCTACCTGCATGTCGCATTTTCTTGGACTCCCTGTCGCTCGCTCACTGGATTTTCCTGATATTCCGTTTCTTTTTTTTTTTTTATGCTGTTTGCACTTGACTTTTTGCCGGTTTCTTTTGCCTTTTGGCCGTGAGTATATGTGTGATTCTTGCCATTTTTTATTTCGCTTGTTGTTAGTGTTGGTGTTCTGTTTACAACTGGCAAATATTGACCCGCATTGATTGTCGTTTTTCCGCTTGTAAATTACTGAACTGAAACGGCAAAAGGGGGATGATGAGAGGGGAGCTCTGCAGTGGCAAAGGACTTTTGCTTTCGTTGAGGAAAATTAACGAATATGAGTTGGCTTTATAAGAAGATAATTGTTTAAGAGCAGATAATGAGACTAAAGATCAGTAATAAACGTAAAAACCAATTTCGAGTTCCAATTAAGCCCAAATCAGAAGCCTTTCTCAGGCTCTCAATTATTTTGTTGAGTCAAAACCAAGCCCGATTATAAGTTAAGTTAAGAAACAAAAGTTTAGTCCGACTTTTACTTTACTTATGTGTATGTGTGTGTGTGTGTGTGTGTGTTATATAAAAGTAATTGGCCGATGCAGCAAGTTCGTCGGCCCATTAAGGCCATTTAACAGTTACAGTTATGACTGGCACTGCCACAATATTGAGCCATTTTATGTATATTTCGCACAATGCTTCTTTATTTCGTTTTTGGCGTCATCGTTAAAATGGGTTTTATTATTTCCGTTTTGGCAGCGTTATTAATGTTGTTGTTCTGCTTTTGACTTTACTTCCGGTCCCGCACAAACACACCCACATGTATATATGTATGTATGTATGCCAACAATTTATATTTTTCAATTAAGCAGCAAAAATTTTACGCTTTGTTTCGTACAACTGTAATAAATTTCAACTACCCTTATGGGTTCCCCTCCCCTTTTGGCCCATGTTTCACTTCATTTGGCCGCATATGTACTGGCATTTCGATTCAGTTTCGCTGCCATTCGTTGTTGCTACAACAACTTCCTCCGAATTTCGCGTTATGGTTTCATTGCGGGGGAAAGCGTGTAATTGATAGCCGCCCTTGGCTTAATTAATAATTTCGTAAACTCGAACATGGCTTGGCGATGTGCGATGAAGTTGCACTATTAGCAAATGATTTGGCCTGCGAGTTGCGAAAAAGGATCCTGTTACTAGAGAATTGCGATGCAATTTGCAAACCTAATTAACCTGGGTTTTGCTGGAATTTCATGAAACTAATATTAAAAATAATAAAAATATTAAGAGTGCATTTCTGGTCCAACTGTTAAAATTTGTCGGGCAGATAAAGTCATTGCTAGCAAAATTTTGATATCTCAAAAGGTAAACTATAGGGTTTACTGGTAGATATAGGTTCCTATAGGATAAGTGTTATGTTTTTTTGGAATAAAAAAAAGGAGAGCTGATTTCAGAAAGCTAACTGAAGAAGATAATATTAGATTTGAGTGGAGTGCATTGGTTTCTTAGTGCTCTTCAGCATTCTTTTAATTTAATAAATAAACTAGAGTCGTCAATGAAACCAATTTAATTTTATTACAAACTCAACGGTTACTTTTTGAACAGAAAACTTGAATTCCCTGTAGAATTTTAGTGTCACATTTGATTTACATTACATAGAGTCTTATTTATTGCTTCTATAAATAACTAAAATTATAACAGATACTTTGGGATAATCTAGCCACCTGCTAGAGATATTTAAGCTTTAACCCCAGGAGAAGAAATCTCAAACAGATCTCCTTAGTACCTCCCGAAGGGATTCGTGTGAATCACCCTTTGGCAAACACACAGCAAATATCTCGTATGCATATATATACATTGTAGATACGGCTACATGGGCGAAGTACTTGTACTGCACACACAACCCACTGCATTAACCCACCCATCGCCCATCGCACACCACCCACCGCCCACTGCCATTAAACAGCTCTTGTTGGCTGTAAAGTGCTCGTTTAGCAGTTGTTGTTTTTGTTGTACAATCATCAAACGGTTTAGCTGTAAAACTAATTGCATTACATCAATTTTTCTGTTAAAAGTCAATAACCAATCAAACCCCGCACCGCCACGGCACACAGATGGCAGGACGTTCTCGTATGGAGTTCCGGAATGAAGCGCGGGTCAAAGTTTGAAAGCGTGCAGTTAAATGCACACAGACACGCACCCACATCTGGTTTATATATATATATATCGTGTGTATATATAGATATAGGAGCAGGGGGGGTAAAGCCAACCAGTCGTCGGTGGTCAATTTAATGGGACTGGCGGACAGGGTTAGCGGATGCCTTTTCGAGAGACGGATGTAGCGACGAAATAATGACAGGAGTAATCACATTAGCCCCCCAACAAATACTCGTACTTTCGCTGGCCGATCAGGGTTGCCAGGGCCCCCGTATAATTGTTTCAAATGGACGACGTGGTGGGTCATTGGTTTGCAGGCAATCAAGAATGAGATTGCCATTTGCAGATTATCGAATTTCGCTTGGGGTTTCACTCCATTTAGGTCCTAAAGCCGAAATGGAAGAGGAGCTAAGAGGATCTTGCAGAGAGATGACAGCCCTGTCAGTGCTTGCAGTAAAGACACTGCGAGAAAATGGTGTCTAACATAAGGAAAAATAAGAAAATTTAAAATAAAAAGTTTGTTTTGGAGTTTAATAATAAAATTGAGTTAGCTTTTAAAGATTATTTATATTTTATGTTGATGAGGCTAGATTTGAATTTAAAAATATATATGTTTTAATAAAAATATTCAATTAAACTAACAATTTTTTGGTACACTGCAGCTTCACACACAAAGGCAAGCGCGCCTTCCTCCAAAATGCATTCACGATGACGTGTCCATGCTGAACCGCCCCCCATCAACATGACCCCTTGGCGACCTTCGACCCCCCGCGTACACAAACAAACCCGGCTTGGGGGTGGTGATAAAAAAAAAGGGGTGGGGGGCGGTAGATGAGGCGCCAAATGCTGACGGTGCACACACAGTTGACCAGTTGACCAGCCCTAGACGAACGTTAAATCGTTAATTGATTACGGGACAACATTGATTGTTGTTGTTGATTTTTATTCGACGGTTTTTGTTTTGTTTTGTTTTTCCCCCCCGGTTTTTCAACAGAACAGCAGCATCCACGGTGGGGCAGCTCTCTATATTTGGCCGAAGGATTACGCAGGGGATTTCGCCAGCGAGACCCCCGGCTCTCTAATGAGAAGCTGTTCGAGTACAAGAACCGGCCATGTCCTGGAGCATTTTAAAACTAATTGTTAAGCAAGCAGGCATGCCAGTCGAACGAACATCCATGTCACGTACGCACAAACCGCAAATACAGACAATCTGGTCGAAATATAACCGGCAGGCAGTCGGACAGGCAGGCAACCGGGCAGCCAAAGGCTGCTTTGAAATAGAGAGCGGCCCCTGTAACTGATATTGCAGTTAAGGCGGTAACGAGTCAGCCGCCCAAGGAGCAAAAAACAAATCGACCCATCAGGATAACGCTGCTGCTCCTGCTTCTACTTCTGCCACTGCTGCCACTCAAAATTCTGGCCACCCGAAAAAAAGGCCAAAGGGCTTGTTGGCCAAGCATGAAAATAAAATACGAATAAGGTACTAGGACGAGTACGAGAGTACATGGCCAACTCCTGACGAGCATTTTAAGCAGCAATTATTTACTTTTGCCTGATGCCCAACATCACCATCAGCAGCAGCAACATGGAGTTGGAATAACAAAAGGCTTCGCAGCATAAAATTCAATTTAACTATTTTGCAAAATTCATTACAGAAATTCGTAGCATAAATTCCGGCTGTATGAATGCACTCCACAGCACTATGGGGTTTTTGACCACTTTATGTGGCATTTAGTCATTTTTTAAAAGTTCTTAAATTAAAAAAAAAATAGTGGGATTGCATTAACAAAACATCGAACTGTTATGCCTCGTACTCAAAATGTTAATACTTAACAGCATATGTTAGCAACAGAGCTGTAAAGTCAGCTGTTGCATCCGAAAGCACGTCTGCTAAGTTTGTAATTTTTACGAAGTGATCTTTGAAATTAAACTATTCGTGTAAGACACAATTTGCAAAGGAAAAAACTAATGGACACTGATTTCACAGGTTTTAACTACATGTTAAAGGTATTAATTGTTTAAATTGTGCGTGTTTATACTGACATTTTGTCATTTTATAAATGCACCTTAAGCTGAATTTTGAGAAACAAATTTAAACTTTGGGAAGAGTTTTGAAATAGAAGTTCGCATTAGTTTTCAATGCGTCCAAGTGTATGTTGTAGCGTTGTCAATTCTGAGCAAAAAGCAGTTAGTCTTATCGTGCACTTTTCCGCACTTTTGTTGCAATTTGAATTTTTCTCAGATAACCTCACTGTTTTCAGAGCCAATTTGGTGGCTGTTTGTATGGAAAAACACTGATTTCCGGTATTTTGGTTATTTTGGTTCCTAGGGAAAGCGTTGTCCGATTTTGTTCAAAATTGCTATATCGTGTTAAAATAGCAACAAATATAAGCTCCTTAAATTTCATTAATTTATCTTTACTTTTACCCGATCGTTCCTATGGGAGCTATAGGATATAGATTCCTGATCCGAACGATTTTCATACTATATGTGCCTAGGGACAAATAATGATGATTGGTAAAGTTTCATGTCGATATCTTCAAAACTGATCGAGTTATTAATTAATGCCACAAAAACTGGTCAAAAACCCCATAGTGCACAGGCGAAAGACGTTGGGCAGGAAATCCGAGGGACCCAAAAAGCCAAGAACCAGAAACAGAAATGGAGCAACATTGTCTAGGTTACTAATTGATGAACTAGAGTGTACGGTATAACACGTGTAGAGCAAGTTTCCCAACAAATGCCAGTGCAGTAACTAAGCCAGTAAGTACACTGACAAAACAAGGGTTAGATATATTTTAAAAGAGTTTTTAAATCTCTAAAAAAAAAGTATTTAAAAATAGGCTAAACATATATTGACTAGTGCTACAATTATAAGTGTAAACTTGCTGCGGTAGGATAATAAATTAATAAAATTAAATTAAATTAAATAGATACCCACTTTGAATCATATTTAGGGGTAGCTTTGGTATCTTTAACGTTATTTTTTAAAGGATAAGTTGAATAATAGTGGCTCTTGCAAATTATAATGCAGTATTAGCTTCACCTGACGTTACGCTCTAAGATTTATTCTCAATCAAAATCTAAACCGCAAAGGACCGTCTTTCTTTTTCGAGTGTAGCGGTCGCCACGTAGCGCTTGTTATTTTAATTTCCGCCTAAAAGTATGCAACAAATTGAAAGGATTACACAAAAGTTTATGCAATGCAGCAGAAGTAACGCAGCAGCAACAGCAACAGCCAACTTAAAACGGCAAGACAAATGCGACAATTTAAGCGCGTTTTGGCCCGCTGGCACGCCAGCAACATGGCATAAAATTAATGTCAAGCAAAATGGGGAAACAGCAAAAGCAGCAGGAGCAGCAGAGCCAGCAAGGATCAGGAGTACGAGTTGCAGGAGGAGGAGGAGCAGCAGCAGCAGGAGGCCAACTGCCAGCTGAGGCATCGCATTCGTTCCCATTCGCCGCCTCTGCCACGCTGTCAGCCAAAAACGGCTTCAAAATGATGTGGGACGGGCCTGGCTGGATCGGCTTGGCTGGCTTGCCTTTTCATGCTCGCCATGTGGGTTTCAAGTTGCAGCAACTTTTGTTGCATATTCAGCAGCAACTGAAACATCAACAGCACCAAGAACAGCAAAAGCAACAGCAATTTGCTCCATTCGAAATAAACTTGGCAACGCTTATATGGCCGCATTTTGTGGCAAATAAACTTGCAACTGCCAGCCATAAAAACTATGTCGATGTCGACAAATTATGCAGCGAGCTCCACTGAATAAAATCCCTTATGCTGCTGCTGCCGCCTGACATTTATCACCGACTCATCGGGAGTGACTTTTAGGCGCCAGGCCCATCATCGGTCTGCAACTGGGCCTCGACAGCCCGATGAATCAATGAAGCTTTCTCGGCAAATTGTGTCAGCAAGATGCACTTGCAACCTGATTTCGTGTCGCACTAATGATTCCACATTGTGCACCTACTATGTGCGTGCCAGCATATGGCAATGGGGTTTTTCCTTTCTGCTGATTTTCCACATTGTAGTGAGACATAATAAGAGATGAAAAGCCCCGCATGTCACAGCCGTTGAAGGGCTTTACTAAAGTTTTTGTATGCCTTTAAAATCATTCGTAATTAATATTTAAAACAAAAGCTGAAGTTGTCACAAAACTCATTATAAATGCTATATTCCAAAATGGATTATTGACTCTTGACCTTCTACTTGTTATCAGTTAAATAAAGCAGAGTCTAAATATTGAAATTCTGCTGCTATTTTGTTCTGTTTAGTTCTGCCACTTCGATGGAGATGTTGTCTGTCAATTCACTGCTGATAATTTCGTCAATCTGGATTCTCGGAAGACATGGACTGGCCCAGCTGTTGGATGAAGGATGCCGACCAATACAACTGCCAATGATTCGGAATGGTACAGACTCTGAACGGGCTCCGTATATGGCTTTTATAACGCGCAATGGAGAGCACCTTTGTGGCGGCTCTCTTATTGCAGATCGTAAGTATTTAATTATAGTACAAATAATATTTAATTTAAATAATTTTCTTAATATTTCTCAGGCTCTGTTCTTACCGCTAAACATTGTTTTATCCACGCTGGAAACTAGTAAGTAATGTGAGAAATAATAGGAGTTCATAAAAATCAGGCTAAAAGTATTCATTTCATTTTTCCAGCTCAGTAAAGTTGGGAGTACACAATACGCAGAACCCAGAAAAGGAACAAACATTTGAAATAGCAGAACGTATTACTCATCTTGACCCTTACATTGACCTGATGCTGCTTAAACTGGATCGAGTGGTAAAATACGAGGGTAGGAGCTCATTTCTATATATTTAAGAAGTATTTAATCACCTTTTCATTTGGCAGACCATATTAGGCCGATCTGTATTCTTTTGGGACCTGAACAGGAGTTACTCAACAGCACAAACGACTTAACCATAACTGGCTGGGGTCAGATTTCCAATGAAAATGCTACACAACGACCTTGGATACTCCAAACAGCCGAATTAAAGCGCATCCATTGGGACGATTGTGGCAGACCACATGGATATATTTGTGCTGAGGCTGCCTATCAGTTTGCCTGCCAAGGTGACTCCGGAGGTCCTTTGGCAGCTTATGTTAAACATAACCAGGAAACGGTCAATGCCCAAGTTGGAGTACTCCACGGAGGTCTGACCGATAGATGCGACTCCTTTAGTCAGTATGTGGATGTGGTGAATTTTACCAATTGGATTGTTGACATGATACGACTAAACAAAAAAATCTGAATAACTTGGCAATAAATTATATATAAAAGAAATTATTAAATAAAGAAGAAGATTCTTAAAGTTACCTAAATCTTAAATGATAATTATATATATTATTATCAGAAAGCGTATAAACATAAAGACTTCATCTTTGAATTTCATGTTGAGTGATTCATTAATTGCCTTATCAAAATATGAAACCCTCCAACCTTGCTGTCACAGTAATAAATATTTTCAATAAAATTATTCCATTTCGCCAGAAAGAATTTCATAATCATTTAAAAAGAACAGTTGAGTTTTAAACTTTCGATTAAGATGACGTACGCTCTTCCAAAGTTGATGCTACTGTTATTAAGCCTGTGCTTCGGAAAACTAGAAGCCGTCACCTTTTTGGATAACAATTGCCAGGCAGGGTTTTCGCCGATGATGATCAATAGCAGGAATGCCAATCGAGCTCCATGGATGGCGTACCTAATTAAAGATGGGAAATACATATGCGGTGGTTCTCTAGTTAATCATCGTGAGTAACACAGCTATGTTTTTTTATTATTATGAATTACATATATAAATTTACTCTTTTGAACCTTTCAGAGTTCGTCCTGACAGCTGCTCATTGTGCCAACTCTGTACAAAACTTGTAAGTAACAAAAACTTTATATATATTAAGATTTTATAAAGAAATGTTTATTGATTTCAGGATTGCAAGATTGGGGGAGTATGATAGTTCGATTGAAACGGATGGCGAGACTTTAGATATCGGTGTCAGTATAATCTTTTTTGCACCACTGGGCCAGGACATTTCCCTGCTTAAATTGCTTACAAGAACTAATTACACAGGTAATATTTTCTTCGTGATAAATAGTTTTAAATTGGTACAAAAAACTTTCATTTCATGTTCGCAGCAACCATCAAGCCAATCTGCATTGTATTATGGACATGCAATGAGGATTTACGAGAATTACACTCTGTAAACAAGTATATTGTAACCGGCTGGGGTCAGATTTCCCGCGTTAACAGGACAGCCTCCACCATCCTCCAGGAAATATCGGTTTCGCGGATCAATCCCTCATTATGTGGCAACTTCTTTGGACAAATTTGTTGCGAAAATCCCTCGCAGTTTGTTTGTCACGGAGACTCTGGAAGTCCCCTTACTAGTGAACACAAATATAACCACGTCACTTCCACTGTTCTATATGGGGTTCTCAGTTCCGGCCACGAGAGGTGCTACGATTATGCCAGATACGTGGATATCGCTCCGTATACTCCTTGGATCTATTACATTATTAAAAGCTACTTTTAGCTAAATTTATACCAAAAGTTCATGATGATTTAATGTAAAAACTTAAATATATATAAAAGAAATTGTTGCCTAAATAAAATATTTAACAAATTATAATAAAATAAATTAAAAAAGTATACATTTCGCGAACACTTTCGAGCACTTTGACAGCATTTCCAGGATATATATAGGGTCAATTTCCAGGATATATAGGGTCGCTATGGGTATTATAGCTCTCCTTGCTGTAAAAAAAAATTAAAAAAGTATTTAAAGATGATCAAATAAAACAATAATAATTTAAGCTTATTATAAAATGAAGTTAACTTTTTGCAAATATTTAAATTTGAGTTCGAAATAAATTAGCATAAGATTTTCTTTTTTTTCCTGTATAATATTTTAATTAACTATTTATATTTATAGTTAAATGATGTCACTGCAACCTTGCCAAGATCTTTTAAAAATATATTTTCTGAAAGCATATAAATATATAAGATTAACTCAAGTTTCAATGGTATTTCCTGGAAACTGATAACGTCAAATTCAGCTGAATTCTTTCTTTAATCTTTATTAAAAAGCAGCCAGTAAGATTTTGATATTTAATTTCATTTTATTGTGAATCTCATTGGATTACGATTATGTCCGCTTACCCACTGCTTACGCTTTCGATAATACTGATCCTGGGGAGACAAGGATGTGCCAAGTTACTGGACGAGGGATGCCGGCCAAGATATATACCCCTGATAAGCGGAGGTGGTGAATATAATAACCCCACCCCACATATGGCTTATTTAAGGGTCAATGGTGTGGTGAAATGTGGTGCCTCCCTTATTTCAAATCGTAAGTGTTTTTTAATTGTTTAACTAAGCAAATTAAGTGTTAATAAAATATATTTTAATACTTTTCAGGCTTTGTTCTTACCGCTAAGCATTGTCTGAACTTTAAAGGCGACTAGTAAGTAGAGATTTACAAAGATATATATATATAGTTTATATATTTATTGTTTTTTGAGGTAATAATAATAATTTAATATTAAATAAAACAACTTTTTCCACTTCTTCCAGCTCTGTGGTTTTAGGAAAATACGACAAGTCTACACCAGAAAAAGAAGAAAAAGTTCCTGTGGCATATTTTAATCCTCATCCTGACAAGAACATTGACATTGCCCTGCTGGAACTAAAGGATAAAGTGGAGAACAAACGTATGAAACCTTTAATGTTTTACAATTTTATTATTCAACAATATTTAATATATTTTACCCTCCACAGCCACTATCAAACCGATTTGTATTATCGTGGATACTGCAGTGGAATCACAGCTCAACTCTATACCCGAGTTCATGATTCTGGGCAGCGTTCAGGATTCACGCCAACAAGTCCTTGTTGAGCGGACTGACTTGTCCTCGTGTGGCAATCGCAAAGACGAATATAGTATTTGTGTAAAGAACCCCGATCAGTTCTCTTGTGAAGGTGACACGGGCAGTCCCTTGGCAGGTTATTTCAAGTACAATGGTGAGACGGTCTTGGCCCAGGTAGGAGTACTCGCCGGAGGTTCGAATCCAGTATGCAACACCTATTCCGATGTCGTGAAGATAACGCCCTGGATCGTTAGCACAATAAACAAGGAAAAAGAGGAAAGCATATGGAGGAAAATAATCAACTATATTTGGTCGTTATTTGAGTAAAATGTAAAATCATCCTAGAAATAAAATATAATGAAATGTTTTCTCTTAAACATAAGGTTGATTTTAGAATTGAAATCTAAGAAGTTGCTTTGAGATATGAATAGACTGACCTGGGTGGATCGACTAGGCTGCCAACGCAATGTAAACATTATTGACTTCACTGCATTGCAAGCACTGTTCTTCAAGTGTACAAAAACATATATGACACATAGGTGTTATCTCTACCTAGACATATACCCAGTAATATATTTGTGAGGCTTCTTATCAAGACATAATGAATTGTTTCCAAGAATTTCTTTAGAAAAGTGGACAAACAAATTATATATTTCATTGACATATTGCAGTTGTTCTGTTGATTTCGTTGAGATGACATTTTTATTCTCCTCCATCCTGATTTTCCTACTCCTTGAGGCGGGATCTGCCCAGTTGCTGGACGAGAGATGTCAAAAGTCATACAGATCGCGAGTTATTGGTGGTAAAAATTCAGAGCGGGCTCCTTGGATGGCTTACTTGATACGCAATGGGAATTTCGCTTGCGGAGGCTCACTGGTTGCATACCGTTAGTAACTAATTAATTAATTTATTTATTATAAATAGTTCATAAATATCTACCCTTAGGTTTCGTACTGACAGCAGCTCATTGTACCCAAGTGAACGACAATTTGTATGTAAATATAAAATACTTGCTAGGTTTTTATTAATTGCTGTTTTTCGATAAAGGTATGTTCGCTTGGGAGAACTGGATTCAGCTACCAACAGGGATGGCCCCACTGAGCAATTTCGGGTAGTACAAATCTTTAGGCATGAAAACTACGTTACTCACATGTCCCACGACATAGCGCTACTCAAACTCGATCGAGCTGTGGTCTACAGAGGTAAGTAAAATGCAAATTTATTGAATTTAAATAAATACTCATTTCCCTTGCAGCCAATGTCCGGCCCATATGTATTATGTTGGACACCAAACTGCGGTCAAAAATCAACGCTATCCCAGAATTTACCCTTACCGGCTGGGGTCAGAGTGCCCATTATTATCAGATGCCGACGCGGCTCCAGAGACTGACCGTGCGGCGGATCAACGATTACTGGTGCAATGGTCAGACAGAGCGATTCTGTTGCCGAAATCCCGCACAGTTCGTTTGCTTTGGCGACTCGGGAAGTCCCTTGGGTGCCCTGGTCTTATACAGAAAAAGGATCATCTTTGCCCAGTTTGGAATAGCCAGTTCGGTTACGGGTAATTGCGATGGTTATGGCATATTTACGGACGTTATGCACTATACCCCTTGGCTCGTGGCCACAATACGACGTCATTGGAATTAGGTTGGAAAAGGAAAATACAATAAAAACTAAGTTCTAGCAATAAATAATGGTGGTAAAAATCTTTCAATTTCTCTATTAAACCTGTGGACCCCAACTGATGACCTCAAACAGTATTTGCAGTAACTCATCCACATTGATGCTCTTTTGGCTCAGCTTTCTCAATGGCGCTTTCAGTTCTGTAGAGTACTAAAATGAACACAAAATAATTTAATTAAACTCATAGAAAAGCTAATACTTAACCCAAGATCCTTACCCTGGCTCGCTGAACAAGATCCTTGAACTGCTTATCCCTGAGGGCCTTGTACAGTTTGGCAAACTCCCCGCTTTGTCGCACCTTCTGGGCCATCAGTGAGTAGATCCTCGTCCGGGGCAGACTCTGTAAGGTGTCGCGCAGGAAGGTTGTAAGATCGCGACGAAGCATCAGCTCTACGGGTACAGTGCGCGACAGTTGGAAGGCCTTCAATCGGGCTATCAATTTGTCCACAAGAGTGGTGACATCATAGCCAGAGCCGTTCTCGGTCAGGTAGTTAATGATGTTAACAAAATCGGGAGCGGCACGAACTTGCTGCCAGGTGTTTGTAAACTCATCGCTTCGCACAAACTCCACGGCCTGTCGGAACCTGGGATCGAATATATAGTATCTGGCGGCTATAAAACCAATGCGTCGCCGGGGAACTAAAGCACCAAAATCTTTGAGATCGGACCGCAAGTCTGCAGAAACTAAAGACCAACAGCTGATGACGGTAATGACCAACAGAAGCGACACGGAGGTGGAGAAAGCCATTATGTGACTATTAGGGCTTTAGGGTCTTGCCAATGCTTATATACCCCAGTGGAAACAATATTTGGCTTTGTTTTGTGGCAATTGGGGGTGTGTGCCAGGTGCTAATTGAAGACTAATAAGCTACTTGGAGCGAAGAAACTATTGCACTTACGAGAAATGGCAATAAAATACTATACAGTTTGTATATCTATCACCTTACTCCTCACTCACTCCTCAAATAAGAACAAACAACTTTTATTTGTACTTTTGCTATATTTATAAACTACACTGTCATTTGTCTCCCATTTCTTCTCTCTCTGTAAGCTGTAAACTCTTGCTTTCACCAGCACTTGTTTGCATTGGCACTGGGAATGGTTTGAGAGTCTACTCTCTGTACTGAGCATATTCAAAGGCAACGACTTGGCAGTTGATAAACAAGATGCATGGTCAATAGCAAACATTGGTCAAATCTCGATAAATCAAGTGAGACATTCTTTTGTCTGGCCCAGCAGCAGCAGCAGCAGCTGACTGTAATTGCTCCCATTTGTGCATTAAAAATAATGATTGATTCAGAGCCTCGCCAATGCATTTCCTATCCCAGTCCGAGCAACATTGTTCTGTTTGTCTGCCGGAGCCGAAAAATTAGAATTCAATTGCGTGATTTATGCAGTCGGCAAATTTACGAGCCATCTGAGAATTCTATGCCGGAAAACACCCACCGCACCGCCTCCAACTTCATTTGGCAAAGCCACAATGAACACACAATCTATTTTAATTCAAGCTTAATGGTAATGGTGATTATGAATATTTTGGAAACAATAAAGATAGGCCCTTCTATGGAGTATCTGTATTTACTAATGTCTTGGCATACGCGAATTGGATTGATCGAGTAGTGAATGAAAAATGATAAGAAAATGTACAAAATTGTATAATCAAAACAAAATAGAATTTAAATATTTAAAAACACATCATTTAAAATTACTGACTAAATCAAAAATGTTCAAGATGTTTAAGAAATTCTAAAGAAATTTAATTTCTACGAATTCAGGCACTGACACGTGCTGATAAGCGGCAAGCGAGCTTCTATTTAGCAAGCTAGTCACAACCTACTCACAGTTGTGTTTGAGTGCTTGGCGATGAAGTATTTAACATTTTGTTTATTACTGGCTGTATATGAGATCCTTGGATCCGAGCTTCTTGATCCTGAATGCATCATAAGTCAAGATAAACCCAGAGTGGCGGGAGGCTACGATGCTAAAGAAAACTCTGCACCATGGATGGTATCTCTACACAATGGGGACACATTCCTTTGTGGAGGTTCATTAATTTCAAAAGGTATGTATGCTGAGGAGGAGAAAACTAAAGTTAAAGTTAATCAATGATTTACTACTGAAAACCTTAAAAATATACATTTAATTTATATATTTATTAATTACTTTCAGTCTTCGTTCTTACCGCTGCCCACTGTGTTCTAACAACAGGACAACCCCAGGAATTGTTTGTATTTTCTGTGAAACCTATACAAATAGTACTTAATGCAACATTTTTTTATTAACAGATGGGCCCGCGTGGGCGAGCACAATTTAAACAAATATAAAGGCAGCATCGGTGGTACTTTTGGATGGCAACAATTTCAAAGATCAACCTACAAAGTTAAATATATATACACGCACCCGCGTTATACAACGATCCGGGCTTACGATATAGCTTTACTTAAGCTAGAACGAGAAGTGCGCTACACAGGTAATCACACAAATCACAGTGCAAATTTTCAAAAATTATAATCATAAGAAAAGCCACTCACCGCAATTTACACGAAGCTTAAACAAAGTGCCAGTAGAAAGTAAACATATATCTTTCTGCTTCATAGCTGTTGAAAATTTGTAGCTTTTTCAATTGCTTGACATTTTTAAGCATTTTAATATTTTTTAATATTTCAATATTTTGAATTTTTTAGCCTATATACGCCCCATATGTCTGCTTCAAAACAACGGCATAGAAAACTGGCAGGAGTACCTGATGAAAATCAAACAATTATCTGTGCACGGCTGGGGAAAAACGGAGAATGGTTTGATTAGCCATGTTCTGCAGACAACGAATCTCCCCCAAATCAACCGCAGTACCTGCTTCAAGTATACCAAATATCCCCTCGATGAATCTCACATCTGTGCCGGTAATCTTTATAGACATGTCCGCTTCGGGGATTCTGGTGGCCCACTCGGTTTTCAGTTTAAAGCTAACGGATTTGATTATTACATTCAGTGTGGAATTGTAAGCAATGGAGAACCTGGCATGGGCGTGGCAGTCTTTACTAATGTCCTAAGCTATGCCGATTGGATTGTTAAGGTCATCAAATACGATCACGAATACATGTAACCTTTCCTGGCTAAAAAAATTAAAATAAATAATCAACTAAAGAAAGCTATGGTCAAGTATGCAAGACGGTGATATACCCATTACAAATCAACAAAGTCTAGAGGCGTATATTTTTAAGGTTTTATGTAAAAAAATATTAATTTGATGAAATTGTTAATAAAATAAAACGTAATACCAATACCACTACTAAGAGAACTTTAAATTATATTCTAGAAGAATAATATTATTATTTCAGGAATATCGAACTCAACAGTTCTAATCCAAGTTCTCAATTTATGAATTTTTAAATAAACCTAAAAATCACTTAAAATTACTAAACAACCCGAGATATATCAGACTTTGATCGTAACTCAAGTAAAGTGCATACTATCTAAACTGAAATCAATTTGAATCAGGCCAAAATCAGCTAAGGCATCTCTTTTAATTTACCAAACAAAATAATCCCAATAAAAAAGGCCACAAGGAAGGCAATAAATTTGCATCAATGCTGCAACAATTGGCAATACTCCGTGGGAAAAAGGCAAACAAATAACCAAACAAAAGGCGAGGGGGTACTTTTCTAAAAGGATCTTCCACAAAAGCCAGCCCCAGTTACGTATGTTTTGTGGGACATTCGATGGGTTCGAGGACAAAAAACGGAAATGGAAACGAACGCGTTACGTGTGTGGATTGGGGTTTTCCATGGAACCAACTATGTTAGGCCTCGGTATCGCCACCCACAATGGCCATCAGATTCAGGAGTTTGGTGAATTGTTGCGGTTGGCAGGGGCAGGTGCCCAGGTTACCAGTTACCAGTTACCGTGCGGCTGCCGTGCGTAATAAGCTGCAAAACGCTTTTCGGTTGGCCCTTTTCTGGCCATTGTCCTCTTTGAAGTTTGTTTATGATTTTCGGATGTTGCACGCACCCCGCAGTGGCGGCAAAAAAGCGTTAACCGCATTAGATTTAGATTTGGCGTATTAGTGAGATTTATGCATTTAGGAAATTAAACATCCTGTCCCGGGTGGACATTTTAAATTTCACTCTACCCTGACTCGCAACGCAGGCTTAAAGGTGTATCGCGGCAGGGCGAGTGTGTGTGTGTGTGTGCACTGAGCTCCCTCTGTCATTAATTTGAAATCATGCGTGAAATCGCGTAATGTCGCCAACATGGTCATACCCACAGTCCAGATTCCAGGGGTCCGCCACCGCCAAAGCTATGTATGTACATATAACCATGGCAATGGCCATGTCCATAGCCTCAGCATCCTTCTTGCACACTCATTTGTATATGAAAAAAGTATATGTTTTGCTTGTTTTTATGCGACGCCTACTTGCCTCCATGCATATATCTACACTGAGCTTATATTTTGTGTAAAATTTTTATCAATCTTTGAAAAAAGTGAAATTTTTTAAAGTTTTGATTTGTTAATCTAATAAAAACGAACGCAGAAAGTTTTCTGAATATATATATAATATAAAATGAATTTTTAAAAATTAAAAAATCTGATTCAATTTTAAATTATAAGACTATTACACTAAATAAGCTTCCTCGTTACTTTTTATTTATATAATTGAAATTTTTTAAGAGTAATAATCTGTTCTTTTTATTTCAATATAATTGGTTTTTTAAACCTGGCGACATGTAAATTTTGTTTTTGGTTTTTAGACAGAATTTTTTCTTTCCAAAAAAAATTATTTCTTAGAATCAAATAATTTTAGCTACATTTTTAAAAGGAAATAACTGAAATTATAATCTAAAACATTGATTTAATTATTTTTTGGATATATATAAAAATATTATTTAATTACCCATGCGAGTTTTTTTCAGTGTATTTCTCTGTCTGTGACTGCGCACTGCGACTGTGTTTTTTATTTGGGCTCCATCAGCACGTTGGCTGGGCCGCTCGGCTCGGCGGAAATGCGTTCGACCACATCAATCACGCGACATTGACAAATGTGAATATTTTTGTTGAAAATTATATGCGGTGGGTGGTGGGTGGCAAGGACTGGCCGAATGGGCCGAGAGAAGGGCTTCTGCGCCAGAAGCAGGCCAAGTGGCTGTGCAAATTATTGGCTACAATAGTGCTTCAAATTGGGCAATTTATTGCTTTATTGCTTTTACGTGTTTCGTCTGCGGCTTGGTTGCAATTTTTATATACACACGGGTATTTTTTACTCTCCTCTCGGCCCGATTCGCTTTTTCATTAAGCCGCAGCCCGAAATGCACTTGTTGTTGCCGATAATTGCAAATTTAATCAGCGCATAAAGTTTCAAGTGTCGGTGGATAAATAAATTGCTTGATTGCAGCCAAAGTATCATCAATATTTCAATTTCATATTTTTCAACTAAAAATTTCAAGTATTTTGTTTTGCTCTTTTCTTTGATCCTAGTAAACTGGTTGGTCAACATTTTCCATATGTCAGTTGGTTTCGGAAGTCCAGTCAATTCAGTTTCTCGACTCCAGCTCAACGGAGCTTACACTGCGTTTCATTTTATAAGTAAGCCTACGAATTTTTTGTAACATTTTTTGTCAATATTCTAGTGTAAAGCTGCTGAAATAGTTTTTAATCGGCAGCAATAGATCGCATTCCGAAATTTCGTATTGTATAAAAAGTGAAAATTTTCTGCAAACATTATCCAAATTGAAACGCAAAATGCCTCGTTCTCTGGTGGCCTCATCTCTGCGCCGATCCATGATGGGATTGATGAGGAGACCACGGTCGACTATCTTCGCCAAAGGTCCACTAATCCAGCAGGTGAGATCCACAACCTTGTGGTAATGGACGACAACCAGTAGTTTTGTAAGGTTTCGGCTATTTTCTTTATATTTCAACTATATTTAGCTTATGCCTACTCGCAGTTTTTCCTTATATCCAAATATCCTTTCCTTGTTCCTTTAGGTGAGATACAAGTGCGAGGAAGGCTCCAGTCGCGCCATGCAGGGCGTCGTAATCGGCCTGTATGCCAAGGAAGGCGACAAGAACCCAAAGCTCTCGTCTGGCGGAGAGAAGTTCGACGATCGCACCAGCGGCAAGGTAATGGAGCTAATCAAGGAGTCGGGCCTCAGCGGGGAACTGGGAGTTGGGCGACTCTACCAGAATGTGGACAAGGAGTACTGCTGCGTGGCGGTGGTTGGCCTGGGCAAGGAAGGTGCCGGCTACAATGCCGAGGAGGTCATCGACGAGGGCATGGAAAATGTGCGAGTTTGCGCCGCTGTGGGGGCGAGAGCCTGCCAGTTGCAAGGCTGCACCGTCTGTCATGTGGACGGCATGGAGTATCCGGAGCAGGCGGCCGAGGGTGCTGCCTTGGCTGTGTGGCGCTACAACATGAATCAGCGCAAGTCGCACCGCATCGCCATACCGAAACTGGAGCTGTACGGATCGTCGGATCATGATGCGTGGACGCGAGGCCTGTTCAAGGCCGAGTCCCAGAATCTGGCCAGGCGGCTGTCCGATACGCCCGCCAACCAGATGACACCCTCGATCTTTGCCCAGGCCACCGTCGATGCCCTGTGCCCGTGCGGCGTGGCGGTGGAGGTACGGACCATGGACTGGATCGAGACCCAGAACCTGAACTCTTTTCTTATGGTGGCCAAGGGCTCGTGCGAGCCTCCGATCATTCTGGAGATAAGCTACTGCGGCACTTCGCCCGAAGAAAGGCCCATCCTGTTGCTCGGCAAGGGGCTGACCTTCAACAGCGGCGGCCTGTCCTTATTTCCGAGAAAGGGCATGGATGAGTACCGGGGAGCTGTTTCGGGTGCCGCAGTGTGTGTGGCTGCCATCAGGGCGGCGGCTGCTCTCTCGCTCCCCATCAACGTGTCCGCCATGCTGCCCCTCTGCGAGAATATGCCATCGGGAATGGCGGCCAAGCCGGGCGATGTGGTAACCCTGCTCAACGGCAAGACCTTACGCATCAAGGACACTTCCCACACCGGAACTATCCTCCTCGCAGATCCGCTGCTCTATTCCCAGACTGTGTTCAAGCCCAAGCTGGTGGTAGAAGTGGGAGCTATGGCCAGCGGCGTGCGTAAGGGATTAGGTGCCTCGGCGACGGGTTTGTGGACCAACAACTCATTCCTCTGGAAGAACTTCCAGAAGGCCGGCGCCGTCACCGGAGATCGACTATGGCGCATGCCCCTCTGGAAGTACTTTAGCAAACTAGTCTCCCCGACCAAGTCCTACGATATGTGCAACAAGGGCGAGGGTCATGCATCCTCCTGCCTGGCCGCCGCCATGCTCTTCGAGCTGGTGCCCTGCTCCGACTGGGTGCACCTCGATATCCACGGCACCGGAATGCTGGCCATGCACGGTGTGCCGCCTTATTTACTCAAGAATCATATGAGCGGACGGCCCACGCGCTCCATCATTCAGTTCCTTTTCCAGATGGCCTGCAAATCGTGATTCTTCATACGAGTATTGACGAGGGATCCGTGTTCCTTAAAGAAATAACTTAATGTCGTTTGTGCTGTCCCCCATTATTATCCTTAATGACGTCCTGTCTGCAAAAAGACAAGAGTGTTGTATGTGTATTAACCTCCAGTGGTCAGTATAAGAAAAAATGTCGAATAAAATTGTGGAAAGTGAAAAGGGTTGCTTATTTAATATTGTATAGTGATCGGTTTTTAAACAATTTATTCAAATATGTTTAAAATTCTCATGTATTTTCTTTACATGAACCCAGATCCTTGGTGACCTAGCTTTAAGACCCAGTTTATAGGCCTCCATTAGCCTGGACTAAGTGCTGGCCGGCAGGTCTCGTTTTCATATGCCTAATTAGTGCTAAGAAAAGAAAGCATATTCGGGTATTTCGGTACAGGACCTAATTGCTCCAAGGAAACACTGGATGTGTACGTGCTGGAAAGAGATGTAAGGCCCCGGCGCACATTCTTTATTAATGCGCACATGTTTTGCATAGGTAATGGCATGCACAGGGACAAGTTTTTGGGCCGCTTCCGAGACCAATATGTAGGTGCGTGACGAAGGTTTTTTCCGCACATCATGGTAGGTTAATATATATTCTCTGGAAAATTCAAAATGCCAAGGCTTTTGCATAATTTTAAATGGATCTGTAGGTAAAGTTAAACTAACTTCCAGTGGGGTAACTTCTTCAAACGGATTACTAATTTAAAATTAAGCATTTATTTATATTGTTAAGGATTTTAAACCAAGTGTAAATTCAACTATTAACTTTTAAAATAGAAGTTCCATTATAAGATCTCTTTCGAATAAATGGCTCTTTCAATTACACAAAGTACAGGCAGATATGGAAAGCTTTGGTTTTTTAATGAATTTTTCCAGCATGTTCTCATTTTAGGTCCTCGCCGAGTTGATTTAATTTTTCCTTTTGCTGCCTTCTTCTTTTACTTTTTTTTTATTTGCTGATTCGTGAGCGCTTTTATCGCAGTCTCGGTTTCGCTTTCGGTATCTTGTTTGTTGCTTAATTGGAAGGAAATTAAAAAATAAACAAGCAGCGCCAAAAGCAAATACTACACGTTGGCGATTACCTGGACAGCGCGGCGAAACAACCACCATCCCTGGACATCACGTCTCTCCCCCATCCGCGAAATGAGCCCACCGGCTGTTTGGAATTTAATTTTCATTTTACCCCCCCCTCAACTTTGCGTTAATTTTATCTTGAAAATAGATTTCCAGGTTGTTTGTTATTTTAGGACCTGCTTGCGTAGAGAATTTCGCGCACCGACAAACTTTACAGCATCTCAACGACTGGCCCCAGTATTTGCCTTGAATTAATTAAAACCCATCGATGCCGAGAGAATGCTCGCCAATTGGCAGCTAGCGTAGGTACAAGAAGTACCATCAGCAATTGGCTAATTGAGGCGAATACGAACGAGTATATTGTTCTAAATAGACACACACATGGGGAAAGGGAGCCAACCAGGCAGCCAGCCAGGCCACAAATTGAAATTCAGGGCAACAGTTGAGCCAAGCAAACAGAATTTGCCCATTGATGAGACGCTGCCTGGTCGGGAGCGCAAGTTTTGGCTTGCCGCTGGCCATGGAAAGTGTCTCCTAGCTCGGCGATGCGTGTCCCAAACTGGGTTTGCCTTTGGCTTCGGGTTGCCGGAACAGGGTGGCCCGAGGATGCAGAGAGAGAAAAAACAATAGATTTTTTTATAATTATTAAAATATCAAAAAGTACTACAAAGGCATAGAAATATGTAGTAGTAATCATAATCAAAATCCTAACAAAAGATTAAGATAAATACTTTAAACTTATATCCCCAACTTTAAAACCCATAGATTTTTCTTTCCGTACTCTGGCATAACTAATAAGACACTTATTATGCGATGGCGGTCTGGTAACGTTAGACCAAGTTTAACGATATCACGTACATACGTTAACTAACGCTAACTACGTCGTTAAGTGGGGGTACGAGTGCCGGTGCGTCTATATATACAAATATATATGTGTGTGTGTGTGAAGGGACACGCGCCAGGACAAGGATACTAGCAAGGATGTGGATACGGGCACGGACATGGGAAGCCGGAGTAACGAGCCAGAGTCGCCGCCGCCCGGAGTTGGTGGCATTCACTAATCAAGCCGGGCTATAGGTTTCCTGCTGTGCGCGAGCAGAAAATTTACATTTTCAATGTCCTGGGTCGTCGCGTGGGCACTCAGGTGAGCTCCAGGTCCTTTATGGAACCGTAGCCAGGAGCTAGGGCTACGACTGGTCGTGTTGTTGGTGTAATAATCAGGATCACGTCGCCAAACATGCGGCTTAGTTAAATGCCGCTAATTAGGCCCTTTTGTGCGCATTCCTGGCCGGGCTATTAAAAACTGAGCTAGCCATAAAGGCCGACCGTTAATCAGCTGCACATACCAAAATACCAGAAACGACTTTTAGTGAGGAGGAAGGCACAGGAGGCAATAAAAACACTCGTAATGCGCGGCAAGGAAAAGTTATTCACTCCCACCACCACCACCTCCCATCATCATCATCGTCATGCGAAGAAGAATCGCTGTTGTGTGCTCGCTGGATTTTTTAATTATGCTTGGGTCAGTGCCAGTTGAACTTGGTAGCTGCTTGCCAAAAAGAATCTATTCCGATTGAAAATTGCCAGAGACAGAAAACAATAAACATAAGCGCAATATTTTATATTTCCGCAACAAGAAACAGCGGGAAATTGTCAACGAGCACATGAAACTAGTCAAGGAAAGTTCTGTAGTTCTGGCTGGCTGAGGGGAAATGTGTCCAAACGCTGCCAAATGGCCAATTCCATTGAACTTGGCTTGGGCTTTCGCCTTGCCTTCGTTTAGGGTCTCGGCTTTAAGCCATATTTTGCCCAGCCGGCACGGCACTTTGTAGCTCATGAATAATCCTTTTCAGCTTAATCGACTAACCCCACCGAGGGAGGGGTTAAAATCAGTTTGAAAATCCAAATAAATATGCAAATTCCGCCAGAGCTGGGGTGGGGCAGGAGTCCAGAAAAGGTGTCCCAAAAGGTACATTAGACCCCGGCAGGCAGGCACTCCACCTGTAAAATGTTTTTGTCACCTACGTAATCGATTAAGCGATAAGGTGGATACAATGAGGGCTCACAAAGAGCGCCAGACAAAGCGCTTTCAAATTGAATTTATATGGCTTGTTTAACGCCGCTCAAGTTTACAAATATATATATATGTATATATATATATATTTAAATAAACGCGTATATATGCCGATGAAAACACATAAATTAAAGCCGGATTTTGGTGGACTGTTTACATTGTCAGCCAAAGAGCAGACCTCGCCATTGTTGTGCGCGAACAAAAGGAATGTGTTTCAGCTTAAAGCTTATAACAAACTATCAAACTGGAATTAAGCACGCACCAACACACGCAACACAGCATATACACGCACACACGCACACTCACAGGACTAGCTAATTATGCAAATGTGTTTGATTGCGAAAACGGTGCGCCAAAAAGTAGGCAACACTTTTAGAATCGCTGCTTTGAATGCCAAACAAAAAAGGAAGTCCTAGAAAGTGGTATCAATGTCCTGACTAGTTGAATATCCTGTATGCTCAGTTAATATTCGACTTGGACACACATTTTTATAAGGATTTACTCTTAAAGAGCGAATGTGTAGGCTACTTTTAGATATGTCTTTAAGTGATTTCAGATATCCAAAGAAGTTTTGTTCCATCTTTCGTTTTTCAATGCTAAGCTAATCATTGCATATTTTTGGGCATGTTTATAAGTAATATCGTTTTCTTTGCTTAACAAAAGGCATCGTAAACCAATCCAAAATCATATTAAATAATACCTCACATTCACATTACCAATTCTACACATCATACCCTTTTATACCGTCCAAGTAGCGGGTGGAAAAACAACGAAATTTGCATAATTATGCAATCTACGAAGCCACACACACACACCCACACATGCCAGCAGCTCATTTTGTTGGCTAATTCCAAATAGAAAACTTTTCAGCAGGAGCAACAGCAGGAGCAAACCGAAGCTGGTGGAAAAGAAAAATTTATTGCCCGCCGCCAACTTTTGGTCAGCAAAGCTGGCCGGGATAAATTTGCATAAAAACAAACGTAATGTTACGAAATGAAAGCGAAACTTTGAACGTTCGGAAAATGCAACTAAAAATTTAATACGAACAACATAGAACAAACTGTGGTACAAAAACGTTGGAAAAATACATACTATATGTATATAACGAGAGAGATGTTAGGCTTTCTTCTTCAGATCCTTGAGAACCCGGGCAATTTCATCCTTTAAGGCAACAGCATGATTGGCCAGATTTTTGGCCACAGCAGCATGCTTCTCGGCCATTGCCAAATCCTGGCTACTGACTTCACCCGGTGCCTCGCGTGATCTCTTGGCCAACTTGTTGGCAGCGTTGACAGCCTTCGAGGCCTCGGCCAGACCACTGAGAGCCTGTTTCTGGGCGGAGATATAGGCCTGTTCCAGGACTTCAATGCGCACCTCCTTATTTTTCTTCAAATCACTTAGAATGTTGGAGGCATCCGATAGCAGAGAAGCAGCACCCTGAGCCATGCTATGCACATCTTTAGCCAACTCCTCGGACGACTTTTTGGTTTTTTCCGGAACTTGGGTCTTTGGTTTGGCCGATATTTCGCGCTTGGGATAAATGGTAATGGGTTTGACATCTGCAGGCTTGACGGCTTCCTCGATGCGAGCTGCCTCCTTAGCCTCGGCTTCCTTGGCTTCCTTTTTTTCGGCCAGCAATTGTACAATCTGATTGGGATCCTTATAAACAGGACCCACTTCGACAGCACCGCTTATAGTGGCCTTTTCATCACCCATTGGATCCTTGAATTTAGCAACCTGCCCCATTATCAATTTCTGGTACATGCCCTCAATCTTCTCGGTCAGCGAGGCACTTTCCTTGGGCTTGTCTCCGGGTTTTGTTGGCTGTTTTTTCTTATCCTTTTTGTGGTCATCCTCGCTGCATTTCGATGGGGAAATGTAGTCCTGTTCAGTCTGTTTGGGTTCGACTTCTTTGGGCTTACAAGGATCTGGCTCAGACTTGCACTCTGGTTCTTCTTCCTTACAAGGATCTGGTTGATCCTGGCAGATGTCTGGCTCGTTGGACTCACAAGGATCTGGCTGAGCTTCGCAGACGGGTTCTTCCTTGGGCTTCCAAGGATCCTGCAGAGTCTCGCAGATGGGTTCTTCTTTAGATTCACAAAGATCTGACTGAGCCTCGCAAACTGGTTCTTCCTCCTTGGGTTTACAAGGATCAGGGACCTCCTGGCTAATTCCATCCCTCTCTCTTTGCTCCTCCTTTTGACGGCGACGTTCCAGATCTCTGGTCTTTTGACGAATCCTCTCTTCCTCTGACTCGCAAGGTTCTGCCTCGATGGTTAGGTCAGCGTGGCGAGCTTTAACCTCCGGATTCCGTGCCTCCTCTTCGGAACGAATAATTGTCTGATTGCAGATATTGGGCTTGGAATCCCGCTCCGAAAAGCTATCGAGCATTTTTTGATCCGAGGGATCTGAAGAAGTTGAGTCTGTATCTGAGGTTTTGCCTGCAGCTTCTTTACGGGCTGCCTTGGCGGCCTCGGCTTTCTTCTGAACATCCTTGGCCATAGCAGACATTTTCTCTTTCAAAGTGTAAAGCAAAACAGTGGCTTTTTCTAATAAATCTTTGGCCAATTTAGTGGCTTTTTCGGCGATCTCAGAGCCTTTGGCCTCTACAATTTCCTTGGTATCGTCAGGTGGTTTTTCCGGAGCTGCCACAGCTGCCGGTTTCTCTGGAGCTGCCACAGCTGCTGGTTTCTCTGGAGCTGACTCAGCTTCCGGCGGTGATGCCTTCTTTGGTGGCTCAGGTGGCTCATGCTCTTCTTCGTGGAGAGCAGCAGCTGCTTCGGGATCCGAGGGACCTGGCATCTGCTCCTCCGGTGTGTGGGGCCAAAATGTGGGTTTGTTTATAAAATCGGGCGCCAGGTGTGGGGAAGCATAGCAGAACTCCTCCATTGTCATCTCCTCGTAGGGTTTGAGGGACTTGAGAAATTCTAGCTGCTCGGTAAGCTTCTCTATTCTTTTATTCGATGCATCCTTAAAGTCCCTAATCTCCTTTTGAACCTCCTTCGATTCCTTGTCTACCAATTGGAAATAACGCTTGTGATCCACAAGCGTATGTCGATTTTCAAATAGGGAATGTAGTTTGTCATACTTGGACTCGTACGTTTTAACCCAGCTCACGAATTCTGGGCGCACATTCTGGCGATAGTATTCCCAATCGATGGCCGGCAAGGATTCAGGATACTTGCGAACGCGTCTAGATGGAGGAAGAAGGTTAATATTAGCTTTAAGGGAATGTATTCAGGGTTGAAAGCCCTCAGATAGTATATAATAGTATATAAACGTACTCTTAAATCAATTAAATTTTATATTAACTATCTTTAAGTTTCTCTCAATACTAATATCCTTTTTATACACTTTTTATAGCCTCTCAACACTTACTCCTTGTACTCCTCGTGCTTCTTGGCAAATATTTTAAACTGCTTTAGCTGATTCGGGGGCACCTGCTTCATCAAATCCGCCATTTGGACCGCTTGGCAGCCCTGCTTTTGGCTGAAGCCGGCGCCACCCTTGATGCAGTTCACCAGCTTCTCCCACATCCTGGGTTTTTCTTAGCCTGTATTATCTTACGCCTGAATATATGTGGTGTGTTTACATTGGAATCAAGTCTATTCTATTACTGAAGCGTACATCTATGATTTTGTGGAGGTGTAGATGAAGGCAACCAAGCAGCCAACTGAGTGCCATTAAAAGTGAAAATTCCAAAAAAGCCATAAAAAAAAGGGGGGAAAGCAGCAGCAGCATTTCAATTTATAGCCAGAAATTGCATATTCATGCAGTTTCAATTAAATCAGAGTCAGACGCAGCGACAGCTAGGCAACTCCTTGCGTTTGACTAACTGACAATAAAATCGAAAATTAATTCCAAGGCAGCAGCAGCAGCACAGACTGTGCTCAAGGAAAGTTAAATGTAATAGCAGGGATCGGGGTTGGGGTTGGGGTTAGTCTTGGGGTTGGGAACGAAGGGGAAATGTAAAATCACACCCTTAGCAGTGTGTCGAGGTCGGAAAATGCTCCAAAGTGACAAACGCAATTTATAACGCAACGAAAATGGGCTAATGTCAATTCTCCAGGTAATTGTCGGCCGCTCTCTCTCTCTTGCACCCACTCTCTCTTAATTGAGAGTTTGGCAGGACCAACCCTTGCCAAAATCCCTGGTTGAGGTCCTAGAAACGAAACGGCATTGGAACGAAGCTAGCGCCTGCGCTCCTTCTTTTCTCAGCTGTCAGTTTGACAGTTCTCGACATCCCGCTTCGCCCGCCCGTAGGTCCTTTTTCGAACAGCTGCCCTGACTTGGCTCTCTCCTGCAGGACGAAACGAAATGGCAACGGAACGATGTGAGAGAGAGAGCGAGAGTTTGTCTGCTCCGTTTTGTCAGCAAATTTTGAGCGTCTGTGAATTTTTCGTGGTTTTTTGTTATTATCCTTATTAAAAACATTAAAAACTCGATTGCAATTTGTTATTTAACCATCTTAGTAGTGAACAATGGTTGTGATTGTGTTGAAATCCTTTGAGAAACGCCAATAATCAGGCAAATAACATCCGTGTTCCTTTTTCGCGTGTTTGTGTGTACCATACAAGAGTGTGTTTACATTTTTTCAATTCCTCCCAACAATATAAAAAACTAAACAATCAAATTCATGGTTTAACAAACATTATTCCGAGCTCAAAGCAATTATTTTATTAGGTAAGTAAATACGTGTGTTCAAGGTGTGAATGTTTATCTAGTTTATTTATCCTAAAAGGCATTGCAGATTGTACCTGTGTGTGTGCTCGTTTAAGTGTGTATATGTATACAAACACATGTATGTAAAGACGTGAGGAGAAAGGACATACCTGTGCAAGGATTTGCGCTGCCTAGTAGGAATAAGATGAATATGAGAAGGGCAAACATTAACAAAAAATATAAAAATAAAAAATAAAGGAAGCTAACTTCAGCACGCCTATTTTTTATTCCCTGACTAATGCGATACCTGTTAAAAAAAAACCACAAATATATGCCATATTTGGGGCCTTTTTGCTTGTTTGTGAACAGATAACTTAGCATTTTTTGAATATATTGTTGTCAAGGCTTAATACAGTATTGGATCATGAATTTACCTAAGAATTCAGGCATGAATACAGGCTAGAAATGAACTATGAATGAATTTATCTATGAGGCTTGATTTAGGCCATGAGTTCAGTCATGAATTACCTATGAATTCAGGCACTTTAACCCCTCAAAGCTCCCCAAGTCCCACCCAATTTTAAGCCATGGAAAATCACTATAAAAATGTAATTACAGAAAACAAATGAAAAGCCACCTAATAGCCATGGTAACATTCTCGCTTAACCCAATTTCAGGCTCAAATTTATTTCAAAAACTTAATGAAACTCATCAAAATTCTGTTAGACCGAAATGAAATTCTGCAAATGAACTAATTGACTCGAATGATACTTTACAACTCAGCTGGGCCGCCAGATCCCGGACAATTCTCAACCCAAAAGCCAACCAAGGAAAATAGAGTTTTGCGGCAAGCGGCGGGATAATGTGGAAAAATAAATTTCCAAGGCTCGCGTACTCTCTCTCTAGCCGACTGATGGCTTAGAATTTTAATGTAATTTATTTTTGGTAGCAAAGGATGGAGGAGGGTGAAGCCAGAAACCAAACGCCGGCCGCCAGGAAACAAATAAAGTATGGACCAACATAAAAATTTATATGCATCGTAATGGCAAAATATATATATACTATGTATATGTATATATCCGTAGGCCATGTCGGTGCTTTGTTAAGCCCTTCCTTTGCCCCTTTGGGTGGGGCTAAACTTTTAAAGTGTGCAATTTAAATGAAAATTTCCAGAGCCGAGGCCCGCATTTTCGCCGTAGAGCGTGTCAAGCCACGCAGCCTGACTAGCAAGTAGTTACCCGAGCACACACACACACACACACCACACCCAAACTACTTATTTATGGAGGATGGTGGGTAGTATGTAGGTGCTGCTGGCTCTGCCCCCTTTCTCCCCAGTGCCAAGTGATTTTATGCTAATATTATGGGTCATTGGGATTTGCGCAGAGCAAAGTGCTTGTTAAACATTTCATTAGACTTAGTGTAAATACCCGCGGTTAACAGGACCTCGTAAAACCTTGCCAATCCGCCTAGGCCCCTCACCTCTAAAAATTCCAACCCCCTCTTGGGGCACATACAGGAGTATGTGTGTTTGTGTGTGCGGTCGGTTGTGGCCCCAAAAGTTTCCTTTTGAAATTGAAAGTGTTGATGGGAGCCGCTGAGCCATGTCTTGGGTCATATGCTGGCATATGGTGCCTCTTACGGTCCGTTTCGCGGTTATAAGACATAAGGAAAATTTCAGAATCTTAAGGGAAATGTTGAGGAAACTCGAGAGACTCTAGGGAAATATAATAAATAATACTATGCCATGTCTAGGGAAGTTCTTAAGAAATTATCAAGGATTTAATGGTTTATCCCTGCTGCCAAGGAAGGTCTTGAAATATTTAAACTGATTTTAAACTTATGCCCGACACTGTACACTTAACCCTAGCCTGTCCGCGAGCTTTTCTGTATGCGTAATTATTCAGCAGCTGCTGTCAGTCTAAAATAAAAGTGAAGTTTTGCCGAAAAATGGAAAACATTTTAGAAGGCTACAAGCACAGGCAATATAAGCCAAAATGAAAAGGTTCTCTCTCTTGCAGAAGCCAACCAAAAATGACTTTCGTTTTAATGCCAAAATCATGTCAGCCCCAGATGTGACCACATTACATATTGCACTACTTAGAATATATTGTATATATATGTGCTATATATATATATACAAGGCTCTCGTTATTGGATTCGTGTCCACATGCGGGTGACAGAATGAGTTTTTGATCAAGTGCGGACGTCACTCAAAATTTCTGCAATTAGTTATTGATGAATCCGTGAATCTCGGGGCAAGAGCAGCACCAGAGTGCTGAATGAAATATGGGCATTGTCACACTTTAAAGCGTTAAATGTTCCTTTTCTGTTGACGCCACCTCCGCTGGCAATAATTGGAAAAAATTTCCATTTGTCCTCTTTGCCCTTGCCTTGGTACCGGGCTCCCAGTTGTCAGGGCCAAACTGGACCAAGGATGCTCAGGACCGGAGCCGGCGGACAAACGAGGCCGTAGGCGCATTTGCCATCTGTCACTCTGGCACTCGTAATGAATGTGTTTGACGTGTGGCTCCGGGCACGCCCCCCCCCCCATTCGGAGGTCGAGGTCTTCAGCAGTGGCTTCTCCCTGGAACCATGGATCCATCGCTCCATCGTTGCGTCCTCCATCGTCATCGCCATTGCCATTTGCCCTTGCCACACCGCATGACGTTGCATACTTGGCGGCCAGTAAATAATGTGCGTTGGGAACTGACGCCCCTTCGATGGCTGAAATCTTAACGATTTTGCTGGCAAATTACGCCGTCGAAAGATATATCTATATAGATAGCCATATGGATTACAATTCTACAGACTTTATAAAGAACTTCTACCTATGTTAGTGAGATAAAGTATTTTACTCATTTTTATGCAATATTTCCCTGCTTAAGCTCAAAGTCTCCTTAATAATTCATTATTATTTTTCTTGCTAACCATTTCAGATCCAATTTGAAGCTCAAATCCTCTGCTAACTGACTGCCAAAAAAAAAAGTGTGCTCACCATGAGCAGTCGAGCACAATGGCTGCTGCTTGGCAGTTGCCTCGTGTTACTATTCTCAGAAATACAGGCAGTCACCGAGGAACTTTCACCAGGTAAGTGAGGAAAAAGAGTATTCCCTAGTCTATACTTACCTGTCATTGGTTAGCTGATTGAACCTGGACTTACCGTCTAGGCACTGGCTGAACATTCTCTTGCATTATGCAAAAAGAAATTGCAGCACGAATGTTGCATGCAGATGCACAGTAGGTCAGAACAACAGGGGCTTCGATACATAAACATACACAGACAGAATGGTTTTAATTTCTTATAAAATTATTAATACTTTTAAGAACCCAAAAAGATGTAAGAAGGCATTAAAATATTGCCTATAGACCTTGGAAATAATTTCTAGAAATTACTTTGATGGGAATATGAATGAATACACCTGATTCTACAACCTTTGCTATCAGTGTACTTCTTCAGTCATTCCTGTGTGCCGATCTATAATGCAAATTTATGCGCTCCTCAACTTGGGCAACTCAATCAGCGAACTAGTTGCTGGGATTATAAATAAACAATGGACAACAAGTCAGGGGGTATGAAGTAGAGCTGCTAGAAGTACGGTTAGCACTGGCAGCACGAACATCAATTTTAATTATGCAAATGTCCAAAGGAAGCGGCTCCCGGACTTTGACTTTGGCTTTGGCTTCTACTCCGACTTTAACTCAACCCAAATCAGGGACAGGGACATCCAATCCAATTGGCTTAGAGCTCATTATAACTGCATTAGCATTAGGCAAAAGTGTCAGTTGTTGTTCGTTGGCCAGCAAACTCCATTATGAGTGGAAGGACTCAGGACTTTTACCAAAAAAAAAAAATCTATATATATTTTACCTAGAAAATACGCAACGAACGGCAGAGAGAAATTTTCAATTTCCCAGTGGCCCAATGGAAATCCTCCTGCAAATGATGATGAATGTGCCCTGGCTGTGACCCAAATAAATTTGTCAATTTATCATTTGCCTAAAATAAGATGACATTGGTCTCTGGCTCTGTCATTGGATTTATGCCCTCCTCCGCCCCCCCCTTCGTCCTGCCAGCTGGAGCAACAATTGTGCGGCTCCAGAAGCCGGAGATGATGAAGGCTTTCAAATATTTGAAAATTTCCCTGCTCACAGGGCTTCTTCTTCGTGGTCTTCTTCTTGTTGTGTATCAACAATAATAATAACAGCCAGCTTGAAGCTGGGTTGCCTGGGCGAGTGTATGTGAGTTGGGATAAGTGTCGGCTTATGCTTCTTGTTAAACAATAATAATTGCAAATCAAGTTAGGATCCTTGCCTTTGCCTGGCACTTGATATTTTGTGGTTTTTGGTTTTGATTTGAATGAAGCCAACTTGTGCTAACCCCAAAGCTAATCGAATCACAGACACACATGCACACACGCATCGCACTCGACTGGGAACTTTTGCATTTTGTTTGGCATATTCGAAAAGGACTCTTTTTGTCTGTGTCTGAGGAAAGGAACTTCGGCTAACAAGCTGACAACTTCAAGTCCTCCACCTTTTGTCTTCAGCATCTCTCACATCCATCTGAAACACACACACACACTCCACTCGTAATTGAACAATGAAACTTGCGTTAAAAGTTTCACTCGCCTGCTGGAGGGAAACGATGTAAAGCCTCAGCAGAAGCAGCATTTCTTAAGCTTCATCTTGGAAGTTTTGCGGTTATCTATCAAATTAGTAAATAACTCACTTGACTGCATTAATATTACTTTGCCCCAGCATTTGTGGAATTTTTCACTTCTTATTAATGATCTATTACAAAGCGAACCGCAACGAGAAAATACTTAAGATGATTTGCCTGCAAAAACAAAAAAATAAATGAATATAAAAAAAGAGGGATGCACACAGCTCACAGCAACACCAAAGACAACAGATGAAAATTAATGACTTGAAGAGAACAAGTTGAGGGTTGTGCACTGCCCAAAAATTGCTTATTAAATCATTAATGATTAAGGCTGTATTTTTTGAGGGTTTAAGGGATGCTTCAAAGTCAGCTAAATAATCTGGAATTCAATCATTTTCAAGGCTACAGTTTCTTATAAAAGTAATTTTCTTATTTGCCTTATAATTCCCAATTTCACATTTCAGTTATAGATTTTGTTGTATTAAAATAATTAAAATTAAAATAAGGAATAAATAACAGAGGAAAATATGTCATAATTTCAATGCTTAACTTATATAAGCCAGGGCAATCTATAAGTTAAATTTCTACCTAGCCTTATAATTCCCAAGTGCAAATTTCGGTAATAAAAGTGCTTCCATTAAAATTATCTACTTTTTAGTTATTTAAATTGAAATAAGGCAAAAATAAGCATGATTAAACCTAAATAAGATTTAAATTATTAATTTTTCCGGTCTTCTCATATATACCTTATATAATTTCTTCACTTACCTTATAATTCTCAAGTGCTAATTTTGGTAAAATTCAAATTCAGTATTCAAATCAAAAAAAATTCCTACCCCCACATTTTTTTCTCCGTGTGATTGAAAAAAAACAAAGACCAGGCCAGTGACTTTTGTTTCAGTGGACAATGCAGCCAGCACTCGAACCTCTTCCAATTGGGAAAAAGGGAAGGGTACGCATTCCCCAACCTCCCCGGCACCCTTATATTATTATTAATGAGCGGGGCAAAAAAGGTGAACGCGCACCTTTTTGCTGCGATGGGAAATTATAAAAGTCGGGGGATAATGGAAAATGTTTTCGGGATGATGGGGGGATGTTCGAGTGGAACGGTCATAGCAGACAGCTTATTATCATGGTGGCAATAATAAAAGAGAATTATTAATATGACAAAAGACAAATGACTGAAATCGAGTTTGAAATGACTCTGGAATGGTTGGGCCAAGGGGAACGAATGCCTTTGGCTGGGGCCTTTATTTTGGAGGACACACAAATGCCAAAAGGGGGGGGTAAGGATACCGACACAGACAGTCACACACACACACATTCACACTCACATTTGGACAGGCCGCAAAAGACAAACGAATGGGCCACGGCCTTTGTGACTCTTCCTTGGCTGCCTTTGCAAAATTGAAAATGTGGTCGACTCCTCCCACAAGGATGTTGTATAAGGGATATATAACCCTCTGGAGCTGACAAAAGGTCAAAAATACATTATGTGCTAATGCAAAGTCCATGTTAATAAATGTTGATTGAAATAATGATGATTAATATTTAGCATTTTGACATTTTGGCTTGCGGCTTCCGGGTTGTCTCGCAATTCTCGCACAGAAAAAAGCAGCACTTGGCCAACAATAGTTCGTTGGGGGCTATTATCATTTATTTTGTGTTTGTTGCCCTAGCAAATTGAAAAAATCCTTTTGTTTGCCACTTGCCGCTGCTCAAGTTGATTTATTGTGTGCACAATTATTCCCGGGAGGCAAGTCTTCTCTATACACTTCCCTCCTTTATTTTGGCGACAACAATTTATAGCTGCAAATTCCTTGGCAGCAGGCGATTGGAGGGGGGAGGACCTGACATCCTTGTGCCGCTCACATGGTCGACATTTTTTTGCAATTTCATGTTTTATTTAGTGCATTTTTCGTTGCCCCGCATCTCATGGTTTTGGTTACACCTTTACCTTTACCCCCTCTATCTGAGCCAATAGTTCCCGGGCTATCCTCTGGGTTCTCTTTTTTTGTGCACGCTGCATTGGCATTTTTCGATTATTGGTTTTCTTTCATTTGATTGCACATTTACACATTTTTGGTATTTGCTTTTTATTTGCCGTCGGTCCAGCTTCTCACACATTTTGCACTCAGGTTTGCTTGCACCACAAAATTTCGAACGTGTTGATACCGTGTTGCCTGAGGGGTATATGCCCAAAAGTAGGCAATGCTGAATTTATAGTCAACTTTTGGGCAGCTGAAAATTAGATTTTAAAGTGTTAACTATATTAATCTGTAGCAATTTGAGGCCTGACATAAAATTTAATGAAATTAAATTAAATTTATGAATTCCATTTATAAAATCTTAATGTCTCTTAGCCTAATATCCTTTTTAGCTCTACCTGAGCCATTTTAATTGAAGATTTTAATTCACTTTGGATTTTAATTAATTAAATCTTCATCTTTGTGCAGCCTAATCTCATATTTAATTAAATTTAATAGCAAAAGTGTGATTTATGAAGCTGATTTATCAAATCTCAATGCGACTTAACTTGTATATTTAATGTTTTAGTTTTTGCAGATAATCAATTAATCTCATTCATTACCCAAACTCCAAACTGCCAATTCCAACTTATTGATAAATCTTCAAAATTTTGCATCTATAAATTCCCGCAAGAGGTATCTCAGTTTTGATTCACCTGAAACTTTCTTGGCTTGTTTATCTTTTGCTTCGTTTTAACTTTTCTTGGCATTCTTGCCGTTTTGTACCTGTGATTTTATTTGTTGTACTCCATTTTGTTTTTGGCTCACCTTTTTCCCTTCTATTTTTTCTCCTCTTTCCCTTTTTTTTTTTTTGGCTCTGCTGACGCTGTCAAGTGTTTTGTCGCTTGTCAACGATTTTTCGCCGAACTTCCGCAAAAGCCAAAAATGCTTGCCAAATCCCTCGCATCCGCGTTTGTGTGTGTGTGTGTGTGTTAGAGTTTGGCAATTGCCATTTTGGATATTTATTGCAAAATGCAGCCACTGTGAAAAAAGTAAACGGCATAGAGGACACACCCTACAACCCAACCCCCCAACTCCGCCCTCTAATTGGCCACTTTGTAGCCCGCCCAACCCTGGACCTCCTGATCCTGTGCAAAATGTTACATGTTATTAAATTAACGGCAGACGTACGGCGCTTTGCATATGAAAAGTGACAGTAAGTGCAGCAGTTTTCCCCAGGAAAAACGAGAGCATGTTAGTCTACGCCGCAGATGAAAATGGTAGGGCGTACACCCGGGGGTTTGGGGTTTGGGTAGCTCCATAAACTTAAAAGCCTTGTCATGTTTGCTTAACATTCATTTTTACCCCGGCAAAGCCCGTTTAATTGTGTTAGTGAGCGTTTTATTATGGCACGGAGTCCCTGGACCACTGTACCTCCACCTCCACCACCACCTCCT